TCCAGATGATTAAAACTAGGGCTAGATGACCCAGAGTGCATGTGTGTATGATCTCAATGCAGTAAGGCAGTTAAAATGCCTGTCTGCCTTCTGCTAGTGAACTAGGGTAACTAGGTTGGCCGAGACTACAGCATGCCTTTCGTGCTTATGGCTCAGCATTACTCTGCAGTCTGAGTAGCATAGCTATGTTTTTTTTCTTCTTCCCCTCTCTTCATTCCTGCGCGTGTTTATGTACGTATGTGAGCTTCTGTATAGGTTTCTGTCCCGTCTGACACATCTGGATGCGTTTAGCTCGGTCCAAGTTCCTCAAACACGAAGCCACAGGCGTTACATAACCCCCCTCTTTTATGTAATGACTGCTGCAGCTCTCTCTGGCTGAATTTGCCCTCTCTAGTTTTTCCTGCCCCACACCCTGTGTCGGCCTGCCTCGTTCACAATCCCGGCTCCCGAGCGGGTTCTTCCTGTGAAAGATGAGTTTAGCCAGCTGTCCTGTTAAAGTTCGGCCAGCCTTCCTGGCATGTTGGAATAGACCTGGAAAAATAAGGCAATTTTCAGGCTCCATAAATGTTTCATGGGTTGGATAGTTTTCTGCTCTTTTAATGTGCTTTGAAAATCCTTGACTCCAGAGAACAAGGACATTAAAATGACAGCAGCTGCTTTGATTTCCCCTGTTCGTGTTACTGAGCATCAATGATGATTGAATGTTTTGTGAAGCATCATTGTCAAACTTACTGGTTTTATTTTGTTTCGTGTGGAAGAGCAAAATTATCTGCAGGCCTTTTTGTTTTGCTTTACCTGTTTTATTAATGTTTCTCTGGCAGATGCTTGTACAAGGAGCTCATGTTTTAAAACATGAACATGGGAATGATACAGTAGAAATTAGGGAATCATTAATGTCAGCTAATGCATGAAAAACTGAGATGACTGCCTTGTGTAAGTCAGACATTGGCTTTAATTAGGGCTGTTCTGTTTTTTTTAACCAATGATTGGAGTTAATACAGTAGTTAGATTCTGCCTCATAGTCTAGAGCTCCACGGTGCATCCTTACGCCAAATTAGGTCAAAATTAAAATGCCACTCCAGTTTAGATAAGATATGTGTGGCAGCCCAATAACATTTAGAAAACATATCCTGAATCACTGCTTCTCTTTAATAGCTTTGTATAATCCTGCTTGTCTGCAAAGAAAGTTTTAAAGGGTGCCGCATTCAACTACTGTGGCTGGATGGTTTGGAGAGCTAGCATGCCAGGTTTGGAGACCCTTAACCTCTCTTCATTGCCAACTTGAGCAAACTATGTCCTGTTTTCAATCAACAGCAGCACTTAAGAGTGGTGGCTCATCTGCAAAACCTTGCTGCAACAAGGACACGGACCCATGTGAGGGAAAAGGGAAAGATGCAAGCTGCACTTTCAACTAGAACTCAAAACTCTTACACTTTTATACACAAATATAATACAGAGGACACGACAAGCACAGGTCTGGGATGGCTGCATATTTTGTGCTGTTCAGATGCAGCTCAATTCCTTGCCTCCTATGTTTTTATTGTGGTTTATGCTTACTAAATTAAGTATTGCACAAAACATCAAAAATTGGTGCAGCAAAGTTTCTTCAAAGAGTGTGGGATAAGGTATAATGCATACATCAGAACCCTTGTCCCCCTTATCATACAGGAAACTTGCATGTGCACGCTCTACTAAACGTGAGGAAATAAACAAAAACTGGCACAGCAGATTACAATTCCTTGAGAATGACATCTTGTTAAACCTGCATTGTGTAACTTCTGACAGTAAGAGTAATTACACATCACCCTCAACACGTGCTTATTACATATAGGCTCTGCCATACTGAGTTGTTATCCTTACAGTATCTCCCCCCTTCAGCACTGGCATAACGCACATCACTAACGATTCACAAGTGCACCACAGAAATCAGTATGAAACTCCAGTGACCACAGGGACGTTTATGTGGCGGTGACGGGTTTAATCAGCATTGCGCAAACTTGTTTTGCTTGAATGTAACTGACGTGCATCTATATGTAAAAGTTTCGCACCTTAGCTTTAAGTGTACAGCATAAATACATTGCTCCTAACAAGCGTCAACAAGCGTGTTTGACATGGAAAGGAAGTACAGCAGAAAGACGGAGTGTGGTGAGACAATTAATAGTGCACATTTAACCAGAGATGGTCAAGAGATGTTGATTTAAAAAAAATATGCACTTGGGTTGGCATTTCTGATTTTGTGCAACCTTCATATGTAGCACTGATTGAACAACATGAAATAAAGTCAGGGTCTCTAAAAGTGTCTGTAAGGGAGTTGGTTCTCTTAGCCTGAAGGAACATCACATGAGTCATCTCTGTTGATGGGAATTGTGCAATGGAAGGACAGGTGTAGATGTGTTTGCCTGCTCTCGGCCCTAAGGCCTGTGGGTGTTTGGTGGAGAGCTGGGCTGCGTTTTTGAGCGGTCGTGTTGGTTTAGGAAGGGACGGTATGGTACAGGCGTACCCAGCACCATACAACATATGTGCTGCATCCAGAGAAGCACCACAATGGAGAATGTGCTGACTGCCAGAAAACGACGGCTGTAGTGATTGCCGCTGGTGCTTTGTGTGTGGGAGTAGGGGGGAGGAAAATATGTCCTGGTTAGGTGGGGGGTGGGATTTCTCCATGCTGCTAACAGACCCCTCCTCCTCATCCTCTTCCGTCACTCTTGACGATTAAGGTCATTCGACTTGTTATGGCCTCTGTGTGTTTATTTTTACTAAACTACACATTAGCTCTTCCTGCATCCCATTTATAATCCCCCCTAGTGGTTGCTATGCCTTGTCCACTGCACCGTGAGAACTGATGAGTTTTCTACTCTTTCTGTAGTTAATTATTTGAATTCAGCTGGCATGTCCAGTCTAAATTAGTCGTTATTATATAGCCTTCAAGCAAGGGGTGCACAATTAATAGAAATATTATCGAAATCGCAGGATCCAAATTGCAGAAGTTCTGCAGAAATGTTTGACTGAAGGTAAAATGTGTGACGAAACAGCTTGTAATGAAGTGCTGCAGAGATGCCCCAGCCTACAAATGTTGTTCTTCAGATGACAGAAAACATGTTTGTTTGGCAGAGATCCCAACAAAAGTCACATGGAACAATTGTTTACCATATCTTGCAACCCTATCTATCTGTCTAACCGTAACCCTCCTCAGTGTCCCTTCTTTGTGACCTTTTGCAGATAGCCTTTTCTCACTTTATCTAAAACTGCTTCACTGTTTTGCCCAGTCGTCTCTGTCCATAGAGTTTTCCAATTCACCCTGAGGCATTACACCTGTCCCATCAGCCCCTCCTCTGGTGGATCAGTTGTCCACCCACCACATGGTGAATCATGGCACACAGGCTCAGAGTAATTTGTGCAGTAGATTGTGCGACACACTTTGCGCCACCAGTGTTGTTCTGAGACGAGTCTCCCCGGGGACTCGCAGATGCAAATGAATTGCCAGTGCATTGATCTGATGCACCAGCCATGGGCGTACTCAGAGGTGTTGCAGAACAGGATTGAGTCTGGAGAATAGCAATAGGAAATGTTATTAGCAAGTAACACTGCAGCTGTATTCGCAGCAGTGTCCTTGGCTCTGTGTTGCGGTGAACAAGCAGTCAGTGCCAAATGTTGTGGCTGAATCAAGACATCTTTTATCGCACTGATTGGTGGCTGATGTGTGCGTCAACGCTACAATAACTCTCCTTCCGCTCAGCTCCACAATAAGACAGGATGCCTGGTTGGATTATTGGTTATGTGTCTGCCGCACTGTTCCCTGACCCAGCCCCACCCCCTCCAGCACCCTGTGGCCTGTAGATTGCTTTTAAAGCCCGTCTGTTCCTCTCCAGGCTGCCAGAGCTTCCTAGTCCTTGTTGTCCCTCTTTTACGCCCCTTTCCCTTCCCATCTCTTCTCCCTATCAGCCTTAGCCTTTCTCGACTTCCTCCTTCCTGGTAGAGCTCTGAAAATTGAAAACAGAGACGGGTGTGGAGAGGCGAAAGCGCAGAGGAGTGCAAGGTCTATCTTAGTCTGCCATCTGAGTGTTTTTTTTTTTTTTTTCCTTCTTTCTTTCATTGTTCACCCACATTCACTGCAGCCTGTAATTCGGTGAAACTGCGCCCTCTGTGGTCGCTGCTGCACAGTACAAGAGCAGACATTTTCCTCTCATGTCTGCCTTTTGAAATGCCCATTCTGTGTGTCATACTGGTAAAATGGAGTACTCTGCTCTCAGTTGGCATTCATCCCTTGCGCTGAAATAAACTAGTCTAATGAAAGTCCCTGTTTTTGTGTTTCTCCCACACTTTATATGCACGCCCATATTGTGTTTAGATTAGATTGCTTTTCTAGGGTGCCTGCACTTGCCTTTGCTGGAAGCTTTGAATAATGCTGATTCACTGACCTCTGCAGTCCGACTAGGGAAATGCTCGGAGGCTAAATGCCCTAAATGATCAGTTTTAGTGTTGTTTATAGATATATAAATATTTCAATGTATTATGTTTGATGGAATGATTCATGACAGGCCAGACTTTCACTGTACTTGCCTGTACACACTACTTACAACTGAGTATTCATTATATTTGGGGAAATTAATTGACTTAAATTGACTCAAATTAGAACTGCAACAAAGAATATTAATCGTTTAGTCTTTAAAATGTCAGGATAAATGTCCATATCAGTTGAAGAATGTCATTATTTTATCCAACCAACAGACCAAAACCCAAATATACTCTGTTTACAGTGATAATAAATAGAATCCATATTTAAGAGGCCGGTTTTGCTTCAGAAATGACTCAATTATTCAATTATCAAAATAGTTGCATATTTTCTTGATTTAATAGACAACTCATTGCCACTCCATTTAAAATATAGAAATCATCGCATTTGTAGGGGTTTATTTTTTTAATGGTGAATAGGCTTGTTGTTGCCAAATGTCATCCCGGATTTGTTCTCCTTTTTAAAATGAGCACTTTTTGACCCCCAGATGGAAGCGGGCAGAGAGCCGCTACACCGTGGAGAGAGCTGCAATCATCAGCCACTGGAACTGGCTCCAGGCCCACATCTCGGACTTGGAGTACCGCATCCGACAGCAGACCGACATCTACAGACAAATCCGCGGCAGCAAGGTCAGTTGCTCACTTTTATGTTAGATATGTATGTGTGTGTTCGCGCTAGAATATAATTTAGCTATATTTCTGGTGTGTTGGCAGAAAGACTGAGCTCTGCGATCAGTTGGTCACACAAATATACTCGTTATATTTATATATTTATGGGGTGGAAGTGTAACACTCAGGTCTTGATTCTGTAGGGCTCGGTAGAGTTGGGAGGCGTTGCTCCCAGCGCTGTGTCTGCAGGTGGGACAGAAGTGAAGACAGAGCCTGTAAATACCCAGGTAAGCAGAGTGAACGTCAACTTGAGGGTGGTATTCCCGTACAGCTGTCTTCGGTCTCTTGGGTCAAAACCAAATTAATTTGTGATGTCCTCTAAGGAGACTCGTCTTATCAAGGTTTATTCACAGTTTGAGGTTGTTCTTAGGCTCTCATATGTAGTATCTCTTATTGAGTGTTCAGTTCACTACTCAGTAAGTCTCACAAGGATCTCCAGAAGTTTTGTTTGTGATTATTGAGGCAGAAATGACTGAATTTGCTATGTGTATTGGAAGATACATTGTGTAAAAATTGCGAGGTGATTGTGGAAAAGAAGAACTCAGTTAATGTGTAATTATATTAAGAGCAACAGTGAGCCTCAGAAAGCTTAGTGCAGCTGCAATTTAGGTGATGTTTCTTGCAGCAAAGGCTCAGCAAAAAACAGCTTTCAAACACTCTCAAGACAAACCAAATGCTGTTTGAATAACATGAATGGACTGTTATTCAAACAGCATTTGGTTTGTGTGAAAGATATTATTCATTGGTACCTTCTAATCAATGAAACATTCAGCTTGCTTGTTCTTTTAAAAGCACCTGGTGGAAATGATGCTAAATGTTCACAGGAAATTGTTGTTTTTTTTTTTATCTGTCTCTCAGGTCTGAAGTGACTTAGACAAAAAAGCTTTTCTGCCAAAATGTATCCCAGGATGAGCCTGTCTTTCTGGATATGTAATTGCTTATACGAGTGTTAAACGAGAACAACAGCAGGCGTGGCCTTTAATCGTGGTGGTTTACACGGGGACTGCTGTATTTTGAGCCATACAGTCAGTGTTCGCGTTACTCTTGGTCAGTGTCGAGGTAAATTGTTTAACGCAAGAAATGATCTGCTTTCACAGCAAGATTGCGGAATAAATGTTAAAGGAAAATGAGGAGCTACTGAAATGAGACCTCCAAATTGTGAGACCTGGAATAAGTTTGATTGAAGCCATGAAATTGTGTTCATTTGTGTGTGAAAGCTCATGAAGAAGGAGCTCCAAGCGATGTGTTGTTGATGACGTGCAGAAAGTGTTTCTATGTTTGGGAGAGCCCAGCCCTAGACTGAATAATTGAAGGCCACGGGAAACGGGGTGATTCTGTTTGTCTATTATGTTGTTTTCCTTTAATATCCTGGTTTCGCTGAGTGCTGTTGGTCAGCCTGTGTGTCTGGGCTAGTTTACGAGGTGTAGTCTGACTGACTGGTTTTGTCTTATCTGTCGATGCAGGATGTCGGTTCAGAACGGCTGGAGCACACAGGCACCGCCCACATCCCCAACACAGAAGCCGGCCCTTGGAAAGGTCAAAACGCACAACCAGTCAACGGCGTCCTCAGCAGGTACGGCTGATAATGATAACCTCATTTCAATCTGCCTTCTGAGAAACACAAGGGGAAGTGACATAATTGCAGACCATTTTGATTTTAAATTTATCTTTGTAGTCCTTTTTTGAGCAAAAATGCTGCTAATTAACTTGTTCCACCTCCTCAGATGTGACGATTTAATGCTTGTCTTGACAATAAACTGAATGTCTGTGTTCTGCGCTGTTGGTTGAATAAAACAAGTCATTTTAGGACTATTGGAAATTATAACGTTTTCTGTAATTTCATAATCAAAATGATTGGCAAGACAAAAAGCAATCATTTACTGTCAGTGTATCACAGAGAGATTAAATTGTATGGTTAGATATACAAATAGTAGTTTCTTTTCTTTAAAAATTAATATATAACCACAATATCTGTTTTGTCTTACGCTGACACTAAAGGTTAAAAATATATTTAACTCTTACCGATATATCTTTAGCTTGGTTATTACTACAAAATGTGTATTTTATTTGTTTGAAGGCGTAAGATCCGTGACCTCCTTTGCTCTGTTTGTTGTCCTTGTGATAGGATGGCAGAGAGTGCAGACACCAAGCACCAGCAGCCGTTATCCTATGACAGCACATGCGTGGCTGCGCGCACACGACCGCTGGTGAGCTGTCGACGACGGCGGCTCATTCAGCCCAACACCGTGCCCAACGTTAACGGCAAGGTGAGTTTCATCGACCGTGTTTCTGGTTCGTGTACATGCGTACATATATGGCCGGTGTAAAGTGCACATCAGTGTCATTATTAAATCATGCAACGCTTTCACCTTAAAGGACCTGAGAGATTGTCTTTGTGCAAATGGGTTTAATACTGAAATATGTGTGGCAGTACTGTGAGGATGTTGAATGCTTGGCTGCAGAGAGAAGTGAAGTGGATTTTGATTCTTTGACAACATCTTGTGTGTTTTAGGCTGCGCTCACTGATTAGTTTCTTGCTTTGTAACCCAGAGTAAATAGCTGAAAAACTAGGGCAAACAAAAAAAAAAAGATGACTTTTCTCCCTTGTGACGACTCACAAGTTTTAGTTGAAGAAAAAGGAAACATCTGCTGATTATTTGGATGCTTTGCCCCCCACAACACAGTTTAGGTCTCTTGGGGTCATCAATTTGAAAATTGTGATGTGTGCTTAAATCTTTCACAATGCAATGAGATTTCTTAGTGCCACGTTAACATTTAGTACCGTAGTACAATATGCAATCCCATTTCCCCTCTGTCTATTACACTGTTAATTTGTAGTTTCAGCACAGGATTGAAGTGTAATTTTGCCTGCATTGTTTTTTTTATGGTTTTTAAATTAGCTTGCAAGTACAGGTACTCTTGTCACGATGACGCCAGTGGCTTCAGTGAGGGAAATGTTTTCTGGGTTGACTCGCCATAGTGCTGCATTAAATTCTAGTCCATTTCTAGAGGCAGTTTGTTCTTCCCTGAGTAACATGTGCTTAATAATTGTGTAGAAGTTGAATTACGAGTAGTCACAGCCGAGCTTTACATGATTTGCAACCCTTTCCTGTCCACCCACAGGCCCAGAGAAGCAGCTGCGTCCAGTGTATCTGCAGGGTTAACCCCAGCTGTGTGATGTGTGGTGGCTGGCCCACCCCCAGAGAGGATCCTCAGTATGATCTGCCCACCCTGGAGCGCCTGTCAAGACTGGATCTTGGCGTCCACCCCATCCTCTCCTTCCCTGATGGTCAGTGCTGGGCTCCGCGCTCAAAGGAGAACTCAGTTTACGCAGTCATTTCCTACTTTACATCTAGAGGGGAAGACAAACAGGGAGTGGCCGTAGAGAGACTTCTCGCCAGGAAGTTCTTAGAGAACATTTTCTGCGATTTAGACAATCGCTTTCTGTCTGTAATGGGTGTCATATTTCTCTGAAGTGGGAAGTGTAGTCTCAGTGCCTGGCTTCTTTTATCGTTTTAGCGATAAAGCGTCCTTTTTTCTTTCTTGTTTGTTTATATTTTCATGTGTAACAGGGCAGTCCTTGTAATGATTAAGGAATTTGCTCGACTTTATGTCAAACTCAAAACATGAACCACATTAAACAGAAACATAATTAAGACAAAGTTGTTTTCACAACCGCAAGACAGCAATGGATTTGGCTTAAGAACACATAGTAGATTGCCTATGGCTTATTATAAATGTTGTATCCCATAGTGAATTGCTAATGTCGAACCACAGATGGCAAATCTGAAGAACCCAGCTTTACACAGCGCACCTGGTTGCACACTGTTGAAATCTCCTAATTTATTGGTTATGACTTTTTTGTTTGCTTCTCCCTCAGACGTTTGTATAGGCCTACGTCTGCAGCAGGTGATGAAGAGCCAGTGGCAGACCAAGTCACTGGAGAGGAGCAAACCACTGAAGAAGCTCTCCCTCAAACACAAGCTGTCCTCGTCCAAAGAGAAGCACAAGTTCACCAACTCACTTATGGCAGTCAGTAAGTACAAATGCTGCTGGGACACAGAAACGCATGTGTACCCAGTGATCCTCAAGGAGCTGTCTGAAATGATATTACTTTAATGTACGACTTAAGTATGGAGACCCAAACTTTTTCATAGTAAAATGTACATAAGACATGATGAAATAATCATATGAATATAAAATATATCACAATTAAATTGGTAAAATGCCATAACTTTCTTAAAACACATTGATATCAAATGTTACTTAATCCTGATTCTTTTAACAGTAACAAAGTTTATTGCAGGTTGTTTTTATTTCACAAAGCCGTTTATCCCTGTAACTGTTTTTATTTCACAACCCCACAGGGGAGAGACAGTTGTGTGATTGGCTGTTGTCGCCCGGCCCCAGTAGTAACCTATGTTCTTACAGGATTACATGCCCAGTGTAGTGACTCTCATGAACTTGGGGGCTGGCGGTGTGGTGGTCCCTGATATCTAAAACACTTGCATCAACTCCCCGTCTAATAATGATAATGTGACTGGTTCCTGGTGTTGCAGGACTGGGCCACTATAAGAACCGTGCTGAGAAGCCGAGGACAGTGGACAGCAGTGGGGGCAGCAGCAGTGCTGTTGTGAACACGGCCAGGCTCGAGGGCCCGGCCGTGTGCAAGACTGAGCGGCTGCAGGCTCTCTCCACCCCGTTAGGGCCTTTCGACAAGAACTACAGCCGCAAGAGGTTAAGAGAGCACTCGCTGGACAGGACTGACAGTGAGTCTAAAGCCCTGGTCCAAGATTGGGCAGCGTGTCGCTGCCGTAAATGCATTTATTTTAAGGTCCCCTTTAATGTGATATGTGAAGGGTAATGGTGTTAAAAATAGTTTGGAGTGGCTCAAGGAAACTGAGCAGTCATTTAAATTTGCCTGTCTCCTGTCCTCCAGCCTCCCCTAAACTTTTCATGGACTCGAGCAGCCCCTGCCCATCTTTGGCCAACATACACTCGTCCCTTCACAGCCCCCTCACACGCCAGCTGTCCACGTCTTCAGAGAACTCCACACCACTGGGCGCCAGCAGCCAGAGCATCCTGAGCACACCTGTAAGGACACACTGCACGGCGTCTCGCTTTTTGTTTGTTTGCTTGCTTCATTATCTGATAATAAACTAGGACTTCATAATGAATGCCCAACGATCGCCATTTAAGAAATCCCCATTTTAAACCTCATGGTTGTCAGTCAGTATTATAAAAAACAGTCTTTTTTTTCCCTCCTCAAAATAACCACTCTCCAAACGTAGCAGAGCACCATGACACGCCCTTTTTATTGACAGAATATCTTTATTTCATGAGGTAAAATGTGAGACTTGTCTGTTGTAGGACTTTGGTGTGGGGCGGATGCTCTGCAGTGACTGAGACATCAAACTTACTAAAACATACTGTAAATGTTAAAAAAAACCTCACCCAAATACAGTCTAATATCTGTGTTTACATGATAAAAGGCGTGGGTGGGCAGCTAAAAAAGGAAACTGAACTCAAACTGAAACTTAATTTGCTTGGTGTATTTTTGTTTTGGTTTTTGTGCGGTTAGCGTTGCAGGAAGTGTCAGGAGACACAATCACTCGACAGCCACCGAGTTGTCAAACAGTTATCAGGCCAGCTGCTGTAGTTTCAGGTACTGCTGTGATCTCATCCACCACACAAGAGATTTATCTGCAGACAGGACTCGTTTTGAAGGGGAAAGTCTACCCAAGGCTTTAATATTTAAATTTAACATAAAATGTGGTCCCAATACAACGATCTTGCAATTAAAGGCGGGTGATCTGGACAGTAACTGGATTCATCTTTCTCAATATTTTTAAAATATTCAGAATTGCGGTAAATGGGTTAAACTCTGTCCAATCCCATTGAGGCAAATGTTTTTTCAGTTTGTTTCAACATCCAGAATACCATAATTTTCCAAAAATACAAGCCCTGAAGTTCCTGATGTAACTTATCCAGCGTAAGAAAGCATTTTAACATTAAATCTCTGTTGACATAGGACTACACTGACAGATAAATTATAATAATTTGTGAAATCTACCTAATTTTTTGGCTCTGCCTGCAAAGAATGAACACCTGCGAAGATTTAATCGTCTAAATGTTGTTGAAACGTTGTCGCAGAAATGCTGGTTAAACCCTGTGGTCATATGAGTCATGCGTGTGGTGGCGGTCTTACTGGATTGTATTACATGCGTTATTGTGTACATCTTCTGTAAACTGTACACATCCATATTGAGCCTCATTCTGCGCGTTCACGTGTCCCTTTGTCCCCCCCCCCCCCAGCAGCAGCCCATCAAGAGGAGGCGAGGTGAAAGCTCCTTCGACATCAACAACATAGTAATCCCCATGTCTGTGGCGGCCACCACCAGAGTGGAGAAGCTGCAGTACAAAGAGATTCTCACACCCAGGTATAAATACCTGCACTGTATGCACTGCTCCCAGACTCGACCAGCGTGTTTGGCCTGTGAGCTACGTCAGACCTGTGCGCTTATATTCTTCCCTTTATAGTTTATTTTGAAGCACTTAGCTGCTGGTTTCCTGTACTGAAATTTATATTTATGCTTGCACAGGTGGCGATCCGTGGACATCTTCTCCCAGCAGATAACTGAGGAGGAAGATGATAGGGAGGTAAGTGTTAACTACAACTTCACGACTTAGTATCCCTCCTTTGTCTCAGGTGATATTCACGTTATGATCCCACTAACGTCTGTTCCTGTGTTCCACATGATTCAGTTTAACATGTGCAGATTCTTTCTGAGACCCTTGGATGTATTCACTGGTTAAAACACAAGCGCATCACCTGTTAAATTTCCACTTAAATGTACTTTGAGTGGGCCGTGAGTGAACAGTGACACCTGGTGGTCAAATACTTTCAAGGTGATCTCTTTTCAGCGGAAGCAGCCTTAAACCTGCAGGGAAATCCCCCGCCGGTCTTTGTATTATTGTTCCAGACCTCTTAAAAAATTCCCTTTAAATTAGTTCAGCTGCTTATTCAGCTCGTGTTTCATGAGTAGCTAATGATATTATTAGGAATTGTTGTTACTGCCGGGAAGCACTGACCAAAATGTGATATAAATGTCAATTAATTTAAGCACTTGGTAAATAAACCTGGGCCTCATCATCCCTACTGGTTTTACTTTGGGCTGTATAACTAAAACTAATACACTCTAATGTTGTATTTAAAAACATCTTAAGTCTTAGATTTAACCCTGCAGCGTCAAACCAAATATTTTATGGCTCAATAAATTACCAAAATGATTATAATAATGTTTAAATGTATATAATAAATGTTCTGTCAGTTGATTAGTAAGACTAATCGTTCTAAAATGGAGTGAGCACACGTCCTGATGGCGTTTTGTGTGTCTGTAGGTGGAGGACCTGACAGATGCAGCCTTCACCATGCTCCATCAGCCCTATGAGGACCAGGAGCGTTCCCGCTGGACTTGGATGGCCCTGGCTCCTGCTAAGAGGAGGGGCAGCAGGTCAGTGCCGCCGCTCTTAACGCCCACAGTTGACACGCCGGTCTTGGATTGTGGACTGTAGATGTGACGTGAGCTGTGTTGTCCCTCAGGTCGTACAAATCTGTTGACGGGCGAACCACGCCGTTGCTGTGCGGGACCAACCCTCCCACCCCTCAGCCTGCGTCCCCAGACCCAGGCCACTGCCCCATGCTCCACGACTACAGCCACGTGCCGTCACCGATGAGTCCAGCCAGTCCCGACACCACCTCCAACCCCCACACACCCTGCTCGAGGGACTCCCATCGGCTGCTGTCCAGCGAGGACACGAGGTGCTCTACGCCGGACTTCACCTTTGAAGAAAGGGTACGCAGTGAGATTAGTTCAGCTCGTAATATATAATATGAGGACTTCAATTTAAATGTTGTTTAGTTAGACGTGAATGTACAGGTGCATCTCAAAAAGAGATTAAGGGCTCAGGAAACCTTTTGCAGGCGTTTTGAGTCAATCAGCCGATTAGAGCTCCTCTCAGGTCGACATTTCTGTATTATACATTCATTATTCTAAAATCTCATTCATTTTGAGAAACTGGAGTTTTGATTTCCATGAGCTGTAAGCCGTAATCGCCAAGATTAAAATGTCTAGAACAATCTAGAATATATGAAAGATTCACTTTTTGAATTAAATTGTTGAAGAAAATAAACCATGAGATTTAATTTTTTTTAGATGAACCTCTATAGAAATACTGGAGAGTTGAAGCGATGTTTTGTGGTACTTAATGAACCTTGTCTGACTTTTACAGACGGTAGCGCCGTGGGAACGTCGCAGCTTCCCCTTGCCAGAGGACCCGGCCCCGGAGCCAGAGGCGGAGACCGACCACATCAGGCCCAGAATGCGCAGCATCTCAGGTTGCAGAGCAACAGCCTACGGACGGCTCGATTCGGACGACATGGAGCTGCCTTGTGAGGACGAGGGCGGCCCCAAACACAAGGCCTCAACCCACCGATGAATGACTGACAGGCTGAGGTCTCCCCCCCCCATCCCCTCCCCCACGTCCCGTCCCCCGCCCACAGCTCTTCTCTGGCATTAACAAGCAGAACCTCAAAGCAGAATAAGATATTAAATGGGTTCCTGTTGTTTGATATTCAAACATCAGTCTAATACTTTTCACAGTTTTTAGTGAACATTATGGAGATAGAAGCCTTTCCCTACATTTGTTTTTGTCACAGGAAAAAAAAAGGATAAATGTAAAAAAAAAAAAAGTATAAAACAACACATTACAAAAAATGTTTTCTGTAGTAGGCTAAACAATGTACATGGGGGCTTAGTGGTGTTTCATACGTCGCGTGTACACTTGTAGCGCACTATGTAGCGGACTCCTCAAAATATGGCCAAAGGGTGTTTTCTATTGACTAGTTTGCTTGTAATTCCCATGTACATTTTTAGTGGAGTGACAAATAACAAAAGAAGAAAAAAAAAAAGCCCCTCCCCCATCCAAATAACAGGTACATTTGAGATGTGGTTCCCTTCTTCTCCCTCTAGAGGTCGCCTGAAATCACCAGAGCACTTCTCCAACTGCCAATTCTAGTTTTGTCGGTTTGCTTTCTTTGTTTTTTTTTTTTTTTTCTCATTCCTGACATGTTTTATTTGTGTCTGTTCTGTCTGTTCCAGCGTAACACATTCTTTGTGGTGTTTGTTTTTTTTGTTTTTTTTTTCAAATAGTAAATCATTCCTTCTTACAGTCTCTTCGGAGAGAGTCCAGCTCCCGTCTCTTCTCGCCCCGCAGTCTCTCGACACTCGGTTCTGTTTTTAAAGAGGTTGATGGCATAGAGAGGACTGGGGTGTCTTTTGAGCACTTGCCCTGTTGAAGGCGCTGCTGCATGCTGAAAAAAACATGCTGATGTTAGTCTTATCCCAACAGCACACACGGTGAGGTTTCCACTTAAATGAAGTAACAAATCGCAGGTGATGGGGATGAGTGTACCATCTGCTAATTTCACTCCGTTCCTCTTCGCGTACAGTCGTTGCTGTTAAATTGTGGCAAAATAAAGACATAACACAATTACCCCTTCACCACCTACTTTCTTTTTTCTGGTTCAGCTTGATAAGATTTCTCTTTCAAATGTAGCAGCTCTCAGCTAGAAGCCACCCCAAGCTCAGGTTTTTCAATTTAAGGGAATATTTTTCTGCTGTTTTAATAGTTTCACTCTCAGATTTATCAAATCTAGACTACTCTATTGTGAGATGGATTTTGTTTTGACACCACACAATGTCATAACCACACTCTTATCTTGCCCTCTCCCCTTCCCCTTAAGTAACTAATTGCTATGCAAAAAAAAAATCTATGGTTGTTTTCATTTTACACCACCTTTTTATGCCACAGCCATTCAATCACCATTTTTTTTTTTCTTTTTGTAGTTAAGCAAGATGTCAATGTACCTGTTCGATTGTTGCAGCAGTTAACCTAATCAAAAAGCAGAATTGTTTTTTCTTTTTTGTAAATAGTACCATTAAAACATTTATGTTTAACTTGGTGTAATTGTTCTGGCCTCAAATCCTTAAGTGTGAAATCACTTTCTCACTCACTCACTCACTGGTCCCGTCTGTGATAGGCTGTCAGCACTTCACCTGTTCAGTTTGTGTCATTATTTGTGCATCTATAAAATGTTTGTCTACAAAAAGTAGTGAGGACATTTAAGTGTATACATTTGATGCTCAAACTAAATGGCGGACGGTGAATATGGTGCACTACTTGGTAAATGGCGAGTGATTTCAGCCAGCTTGTATTGTAATTCTACACGACGACAGTGACTTCATAGCATTTATTTTCAAATACACACATACAGCAAGAAGAATCATCATAAACCAGTTATTGATAAAATGCACAATAACAAGAACAATCACATTTCCACAACTGTACAGCGTCCGAAGGAACCCAAAAAAAATAAAAGATGAGTTTTTGTTACTGCAGAAACCTCTCCGGCAGATCCAGTAAAAAGACACGTGGAGAGGACCACCAAAGCGCGCACACACACACACAAACACACACACCCCCCTAACTGCACAGCTGATAATCTTCTCTGTGCTGTGGAAGCAACTCCCACCCGTCACCACACATCTATCCTGCACAGTGAGACAAATGTGGTCTATTTGGGGAAAAAAATAAGAATTTAGCATGCAGGTAATGTTGCAAGCACACTCCTTAATTCCTATGTGATCGCTCTTAACTGAAAGAAACATCGCTGTGATCATAGAGATGTGATTTTATCTCAACATACACAGTTGGGAGCAGAGTGCGGGACGTTTTCACTCTTTATAACCACTTTAAAAAAAAAAATCCTAGATCAGTATATCCTTCCAAATCCAGAGAGCATATAATATAAACAGGATATACAAAGAGACCACTTAATGAGAGGGAGGCAACAAGCAGACGGCTGTCTCTTACATGAGGTGCATGCAAGAAGTTGTTTCACTTAATATCAATGCCAGTAATAGTGCTGAATCACCAGGTATACTGATATGGACAGGTTTTTCTTTCTTTTTTTTTTGAGCACATGAATGGAGAATATGTTTAAGGGAGCATGTAACTAATCTCCAGCTGGTTGCAATCATTTGACTTAACAAATACAAAACAAGATTCTTCACAATAAAGTAAATGTTAACCAATATCTTCCTTTAAAATCTCATCTGATCTGTGGCCTTGCTATTAAATGCACTATATGACCAAAAGTATGTGGACAACACTGCTGACAACTTACTCTGCTTTTGGTCTGGGGTTGTTTTTCATGGTTTAGGTTGGGTCCAAATCTTAATCTTGCTCTTCTGCACTAGAGGTCGCAAGATAATTTAAAGAGGTGGTATTATGCACATTTTCAGGTTCATAATCTTATTTATGGGTTGTACCAGAGCAGGTTTACATGGTTTAATTTCCAAAAAACACCATATTTTTTTGTCATACTGCACATTGCTGCAGCTCCTCTTTTCATCCTGTGTTGAAGGCTTCATTTTAGCTACAGAGTGATACATCTTGTCTATACATGATCTTTGTTGGGAGTTGCACATGCTCAGTTCCTAGTTAAGTACTACTAGCCAATCAGAAGCAGAGAAGGGCGGGTCAGTGAGAAGCCTGTAAACAGCTTGGGTTCAGCTGTACATGTTGCCGACCAGCTTGGCAACATGGACTGGAGCGAGAGTTTCAGAGTGGTGAGTTATTAATCTGTACCAAAAGTATCTTTCATCCATAAAGTTTTAACTGAGCTCTGTCTCTACATCACAGGAACAACTTTATGTCCACTGACTGCCTGGAGGGTAGCTAGTGTTTGGGGAGGGAGAGGAGAGCTGTCTGCTGCAGCTCGCTGTTTTTACACAAGTGTTTTTGAGGGCGTGTCGGAGTAGCCGCTTGGCGAGCGTTTTATGACACGTATTTTGCTTTTATCCCTATTCCTGTCACAGGAATGAAAGGGAAGTGGCTGGACTACAACTTTGCAAACCTATTACATGCACAAAAAAAAGGTGTATAACTCAATAAAGGAGAGGGAAAAAGCCAAAAAGCTAAATACCACCTCTTTAAGGGGTGATAAGATGATAAACAAGGAAAGCAGAAACCTTTCTCACTGCACAAAATCGTTTTGCACATGTTTTTGAGCTGGTGAATTACTTTATATTTGACCTTTTCATGCCTCTAAAAAGGACTCACATAAAACAAGGATCAACAAGGAGGGACCTCCTGGTTTAGACAGCAGTGTGTCCCTTTCCTGTCCTCACGCTCAAAGGCACATCCATAAAGAAAAGGTTTTCCCAGTTTGGTGTGGAAGAACGTGACTGGTCTGCACAGAACCCTGACCTCAAACCCATCCTACACCTTTAGGAGGAACTGGAACACTGACTGTGAGCCAGACCCGATCACCCAACATCAGCGCTGGACCTCACTGATGCACAATATTCAGGTGTCCACATACTTTTGGCCATCTAGTGCAGTTTTTTGCTTTGCAGATAAGGATTTTATCACAGAAGATGAAAGCAACCAGTTGAGAGCCACATCCTGATGAATCCTGTGTTTCTACACGTTCAGTGCTCAGGTACAGATGATTTAACTGCCCAAACAAATTAAGTCATTGCTTCACAGTTTTCTCATGTTGCTTTCCAAATCTCTCATCTCAACTTGGCCCTGTCAACCCATCCGTCCACCATCCATCACCCATATTCACTCCAGCTGAGTAAATCTTACCTTTAAAGTGAGACTATGTAACGTCTGAGAGAGGAGACAACACAATCTTTTTCTTACAAATAAAGTCGAATTCAAAAGGCAGTAAAATGCACTCTTGCATAGTGAGGCGTTTTTGCTGCTACAGCCTCACTTGGCCGTATCTTATGCTGAGCTAATGTAAATATACAATTACTGAGTCAGATTACACTTGTGCTACTGTTTTGTAGCTATAGCTATAAATAATTTAGCATTATCTTCTTTAGTAGAAGTTACATAGTCTCGCTTTAAGGGTTATTATATGTTTCAATAATTGCAATGAACATTATCCTACGTACCTTTTATGTGCATATAGCAGTTTAAATACTGTAATCAATGAGCTGAACTGATAAACTCACCTTCCCGCTTCATAATTTGGCCATGAAAGTTACACTTTAAATGCCTTGAGGTTAATTTGTCCTCCTCGTATGTCAAGCTTTACAATAGAGCAGTAACAAAACAAAAAAAATAACACTGACAGTAGCAGGCACAATACAAATGTTTCTTCATATCAAATACATGTCATATATCCACAGAATACGATTATAAAACTGTGCCCAACACAAACCAAAGTTTCTACTCTAGCCGTTCTGTATTTTTTTTAAATCCAGGTTACGCCCCTGTCGCCTACAGTAGCTCGAGGCGCAGCACATGTCGGGACTACACAAAGCAAAGACAGCAGTGAGGTCTGAAAGCATTTTTTCTTCCTTGACGAAACATTTGCTACTTTTCTTTTAACAGTTTTCCTCCCACGTTCCTCGCTGTACCCTGCAACGGTTCCTTCGGCTTTAGCACAAAATGAACCCTAACAGTCTGCATCTCCTTCCATTTTCCCCAAAAATAAAACCCATCAAAGGGGACATTAAAAACATACTTTTCTAAAAGGGTTTACAGTCAATGCGACAGGAAACCAAGTGTTAAATGATGTCAGATTTACCAGGATATGCATGAAGATATATGAATTCCTCAGCTTCACAGGGAGAGTTTTGCTCTTCTGGGGTGCTTTAACTCTTAAAGGGAGACTTACAAAAGGTAGAAATAGCAAATAAAGAGATCAAAGACCACCGAGAGAAATTAAAATACATTTTGGCCTACTCGTTAATCTGTGTTTTTTTCTCAAGACCTCTACAAGTAATGCCTTAAGAACAGTTTAAAAGGTTAGTGAAGGATAAACAGTGATGGGTAGCTTAAAAAGTCCTGTGAAAATAACGAGGAAGGCATCACAACTCCTCTACGTGGTCGTGAGGTGGAGAAGAGAGGGGGGAGCGAGGCGGGTGCATTCACAAGCCTTGTTGAGCCAGAGAAGCAGACACCTGGTCGGCCAGCGTGGACAGCTGCGGAGAGTCGGCCATGTTGATGCTGCCGGAGGAGGACACGGTGCTGAGCTGGCGGGGGGAGTCTTCCAAAGAGACGATCTCGGCGCCGTGGTCAGTGCGGGCCTTGGCTGACTCACGGAAGTTCAGTTTGTGGCTCTCAATCTGCGGTCAGATCACAGGTGAAGGTCAAACACGCTGCCTGAATTATCTGTCTCCTGCTTCAGTGATTGGGGTAATAAGTCAAATGTTGTAGAGCACCCCCTGGTGGGGCAACAGGATGTACACTAACCAAGGCTGCTGGATTCTGAAATCTTCCCCGGGGCCCCAAAAAAACTCAGGTTCGCTCTTGTCTTGTGTCCAGATTATCCTGGGCCCCTGTTGGCCCCCTGTTCCTTCTACTTTTCTACACAGGAACACATACTACCTGTCCTGCACATGCACCAAAATCCATTCACTGTCGTCTTGTTTGCATCACAGGTGTGTTGTTTTTATTCTGTCCAAAACTTTATATTATACAGTTTAAAAAAAAAAAAATATCAAAGCCATAAAACAAACAATATCATACATTGAATTTAAAACTAGTTCCCAAACCTAGATTTATACTCTGGGACCCTCTTCAAGACCACACCTCATGTCAGATAATAAAGCCGGCTGTACTCTGAGGCCTCATTTAATCCAGCTGGACTTCCTGGATTGTATTTCATGTCTCCCTGGTACCTTGAACATCTTGTGCAGCCCCCTGCAGGGCTGTTTTCTATGTGCATATTCCAAAACGAATGATTTATGTACCACAAAGCAGTTGATAAACAGTAAGCCAGGAGCTTTTTGGGCCCCTGTAGTTCTGAGGCAGTTGCCCACTATAGTCCTGTGGTCCTGTACTAAATTCTAGTTTTCAGTCCCGTTTTGGCATTCGGCTTTACTTCCTTATTGTTTCTTCTTCTTCTTCTGACTTTATTTAAATCTAATATTTAAGAACAAACATACAGTACATTATCCTACAGAGTTAGTTATGTTTGGGATCAATCAGACCCCAGAGAGGTCCAACAGAACTGGACTGTGAGCCAGACCTGATCACCCAACATCAGTGTTGGACCTCTCTAATGCTCTTGTGTCTGAATGGGATAAAATCTCTGCAGCCAGGTTCCAACATCTAGAAGAAAATTACAACCTGCTCCAGATTTGAAAAACATCTGCGCTGTTGTTCAAAGCAGCTCAACACACAGCTCGTGAGTACTTACAGGAGTCCTCAATCTTTATGAGGGGGTTCGTCAAGATGGGTGTGATGGGTGCTGAAGGGACAGTCTGAGGTGACTGAGGGGGGGAGACAGCGGGGGAGGGGATTGAGGGACTGTCTGAGGTACTCCCCTCTGCATCCTTCCCCTTCTCCCTCTACAGAGGAACCCCAGCAAAGGAAAATGATAAGGCATGCAACAAAAACACATGACAAAACAAAATGCAAAACAATAAATGAAAACAACAAAAACAGATTCTGCTGAATGGCAAGAAACAGAAAATTAATGACACCAATCAATAATAATTAATGATGAACGTAAAATCAGCTGGATGGAGAAGATGTACAAAAGAGGGAGAAAAGCGCTAATGCCAAGGATGAGAGGTGAATGACGCTGTTTTTGTGTGATTCCCTTAATAAAAAGTGTTGATGGCTTAAGATCACGTGATGCATTGTGGGTAAGAAAAGCTCTGCCAGCCCTTTCAAAAACCTAGCTGGTAAACGCCGCGAGCAACGCACAGATCTCAATCTATGAAACAGGACTGACCATCCTGTGGTGGAGAAAGTATTCAGATCATTTACTAATATACTGTTGGGTACTTTAATCTACAGCAATGCATCATGGTCTATAAGATCATCATGTGTTTGTTGTGTTCATCCTTCAGTTTAGCAGAAACATTCAGAATCACCACATTTGGAGATATGAAAATCTGTAATCTGGAAAGTAAATGGTGACTAAAGCTGTCAGACAGATGTAGTGAAGTACAAGTACAATATTTGCTTCTGAGATGTAGCAGTAGAAATATTGAGTTGCATAAAAGTACCTCGAATTTGTACCTTTGTACAGTATTTAAATAAATGTGCATAGTTACATTTCACCACAAGCTCCAAAAAGGCTTAGATTTTGAGTGCAATTTGGTGCAGACAACCGGTTCCTGACGTCAGGGGAACATTTCTGAACCACCAACAAACTAACAGTTAATTCTATTTCCTGTATTTATATACATTCATATCAGTCTAGAAAATAACTAATTATGATGGAATATGTTTTTATTATGATAAATAATGTTGTCTTTGCATCTTCACTGCCAAGACCACTGTCCTTTACCGGCTTGTCTTTGATTCATGTTCAATTCCAGAGTCTTTTTTTGAGATGAATATTAAGTGTAAAAATAGATTCACATTCAGACGTTCAGAGGAGGTGGAAGCATTTATTTCAGCCGTGTGCTTTGCCTGAAGTCTTTCTTATAGGCTGCATATAACCTCCACCAAGAAGACAGAGCAGCGTGTGTGGTCTGAGAGACGAGATCCAGGCCCAACGTTTCTGCTTTTAAAGCCGACTCGCTGTGAGACACTCGACCATTTAGAGAGATTTTAAAAGGTAAAGTTGTGGCTTTTATTTTAATTTACACAATTAAGCCTTTGAGGAGATCATTGACATCTTTCAGCTAGTTCTGATGTTTCCGTTAAGATTGCTGGTTGTTCTGAGGTGTGAAAGTTGCTGTGTTGCTGACTTTGTTACACCCACTAAGAAAAGCCAAGGCTGAGAATGATGAGACATACATGTCTGTAAAGGATCTGCTAGTCGTGATGCGTTCAGGTAAGTCTGTAGATCCTTACAATAACTAAAAAGAAAGTTATGTAGATAAAGCTTCTGTCATGCAATAAGCAGAACGTGATAACATAAAGAACGGCAACAATACACTAATAGTAAAAGCAATTTAGTGTTTTTGATATTGAGTATGGTTGTGATGTTTTTACCTTTCTCTGTCCACCTCCGGGAACGTGGCCAATGTTGTCCAGAGAGCCGATCTTGGACTGGACTTTGAACTCCAGCTTCTCATTTTTGATCTCAATATTTCCACCACCTCATGAAAACAGAATATAGTACCATTATTACTAAGTTAAGATATATATAACCAGACATAGAAACATGTAAGAAATTGTTTTATTTAACATAAAGAGACCAATAATAAGCAACAGGGGTGAAAGACGTCCCTAGTCCTTCAAGTATGAAAAGTTAAAGTACCCGTTGTGCAGTAAAATGTCTCCTGTGGCTAATATATTATTATTAATCACATTATTACATTGTTAATTCTGTAAATTCATTTTTACTGTTGTAGCTGCTTGAGGTGGAGCAAGTTCATTACTTTATAAACAGTTGACATGTCACACATCTGAAACATGACAAGCAGACACTACACTGCCAAAAAGGTTTGAAACCACTAGTTTAAACTTTAACACTGTGTTGTATTTAATAAACTGATCTTATCTGACAAGTAACTACAGCTGCATGTCAAGTTATCAAGGTAATTTATTTAGCATTTACAACACAAGGTTGTGCAAAGAAAGTACAGTTCCCTTCAAGCTACAAACATGTAACACACATAGCAGATCATTAAATGTATATTAGAAAATGGTTATATATGAAATAAATAAAATTAAACAATGGTATACAGTTGTTTATATATATGTAAATGTAAACACCCAGGAAATAGCCTCATTCTGATGTGTGTTTTTTAAAATTGCGTCGGCGAGAATATAATCAGTAGTAACGGTTTTCATCTTCAGTGGAGTCAAAGTACAAAATAAATGCTTAGAAAAGCATATTTACCTCAAAATTGTACTTAAGTACAGTACACAACAGTGAAACACCTAAAGCTCACTGTAAAATATGACTGAAAGTCCGTTGAGTACGTTGAGTTTGTTGTTGCTTGCATTTTTCCCGTACATATGTGAAAATAATGTAGTTCACAGTTGCATTAAATTATTGTCCTCTGCATACATATTTGCTTTTCAGTTCTGTTCAGGTTCTGACGTCCAGTGATTTTGTTTTTGCCGTTGGAGGATATTACGACAACAAATGTACCTGGTTTATGATGAATGTTGACTTTCGATCCACATTTAGATTGAACGTTGCTCAGATCAATCTTTTTGTGCACAATTTGAACCTGTGAAGCACAAAAGAGAAAGCAGAAAAATATAGTTTTAATCTATAGCAACACATCTCTCTAAACTCACTTTGCATGCAACTACAGTGATAGTGATCCTAGAAACTGTTAGTCTCCTGAAACTGTTACCAGGAAGGAAACACAGATCAATAAAACACTGATCATACACGTGAACACACACTGGATTAGATATTATTTTTTAAATTTAAAAATGCAGAAAAATGATCCAGTTTCATTTTAAAAACATTTAGTTTTACGTTTAATCGTTCATATTCTGCACTCTTTAAGATACAAGCCATATCTCCCAGCCGTGCATCACAGTGACCTCATGTCAGGCTCTCCTGTCATGGCCGTTTGTCTCGTAACACAAAGCGCCCAGTCTCTCAGCTGAGGTCATCTCAGCGCTCACGACAACAGGCACAGTTTGGTCGAGGACAGAGGCTCTTTGTTACTGTGGAGAGACTCCTTCTCCTTACAGTTTTTATGACACAATTAGTTCACGTCACCGCAAAAAAATAAATTAAGATTTCTTTTTATAGATCTCGCAACTGGAAGCACGGATCAGTGTGAATAAAAACATCCACATACAGGATGCATGCGTGTTGTTTAAGGGGCCAGTCTGCGGGGTAAGAATTGATCACAGTCAAACCAACAAGCACAGATTCAACAGAGTTATCAAGCTTACATGAGACCATGAGCATTACATAACGCTGTTAGCTGTGACAGTAGATGCACTGAGAGCACTAAACCAGTCTCTGGCAACTTATTCCAGTCTAGGATTCAGTACTGGTAGTAAAGTATATCTATGGCAGTGGTGGAGATCCTTTACTTAAGTAAAAGTACTAATACCACACTGCAAAAATACTGAAAATGTACTGAAAGTATTAAAAGTAAAAGTACTAAATGCAGCAAAATGTCCCTGTGACTGTTATACTGTTTTATATTATATCATTATTCTTCATGCATTAATATAAAAGCAGGATTTTACTGCAACTAATGATAATTTAACTATATGGATAAATAATTAAATCAATCAACAAATTATTTTTTCCATTTATTCGGTTTACTGTATAAGGTGAGGAAAAATCTAGCTAATCCTCACCTTTGAGAAGCTGGAAACATTAATTGTTTGATGGCTAGAGCACCAACATTATGATTCAAAGAAATAAGACTTGACTCAATTCTGTTAGGAAGAGGAATTCAAGAAAGACACGAAGAAGGAAAAAGAAAGTCGCTATGGCCGCATCACACACAAACTATCATGTCATCTCTTATTTTAGTCGGGTAGTTAAAACTTTTTACAAAGCATCACATTTGAAAAACTATTCATGTTTTTCCTGCAAAACTCTCTACTCTTAAAGGCAAATATTGTACTTTTTACTTCTTACAGCTTCTTAAAGAACAAGTAACTCAAATGTGTACTTAAGTACTGTACTTGAGTAAAAATACTGATCTACTTCTAACTGTCAATATGAAATGCTCATGACTGCGTATAAGTTTAATGATAAAACTGTTAATAGGAGGTGTTAACAGAGAGCTGGGAGCATCGAGGTCAGGAGGAAATGGGTTTCACACAGACAGGAGGTTTCGTGCATCCTGCTCCTTTGTGAAGATGCATTCAGTAGAAGCAAGAAGAAGAGGGTTTTTGGCAACAGCTGCTCACCACGGGCCAAATCCCAGATCTACTCACATTGCCACCACCGGGTACATGTTTTATATTATCTTTGGAGCCACACCGGGACTGCACATTGCTTAAGTCCAACTTCTTATCAAGAATTTGTACCTGGAAAGTTGATACGTAGGGAAAGAAGACTGTTACCCAGGAGAAAGCAACAGCCGAGGAGCTGCGAATGAGGACCGTTGCTGGAGAGGAAATTAGATCTTTGATGGTCGAGTTCGAGGCTCAAGGGAGAAAGATCTTACCAGGGAACGTGGCTGATGTAGGAGGACAGGGAAGGACTTTTTAATTTCCTCTTAACAAGGATTCGTGTAATGATCATAACTGCAGAGATACTCAAGAGTCTGGTGTTGACACTTAGACTGCACCTTACATATTCCAACTTCTGATCAAGTACTTTAACCTGGGAAAGTAAGGGGAGTGACCGATAGCAGCAAAATTACTGTTTACTTTTACTACTTAACTACTACAGGCAATGACAGGAAGTCAGCATATTAATGTAGCTACACTATATAATAAATAATCCATTTTGTAACTTGTGATTATTTCCTCTCCTTGTGTAAAAGGCATCACCAGCGTGAGCTCAGAATAAAAACAAAACAGAATTTGACAATTATTTCCAAAGTTAAACAGAAGTCGAGTCCCCGTGCAGATTTCTCACCTTGCCTCCACCGGGCGTGTGCTTTATGTTGTCTTTAGAACCACAACGGGCTTGGACGTTGGCCAAGTCCAGCTTCTTATCGAGGATTTGGACCTGCAAAGTGCGAGAAGAAAACTTATAATTTATAAGAAATAAAATTTAGAATAGCTGAAGGAGTGGATCAGCCCCAAAGGAGGAAATAAGATAAAGACCAGGCATATTTTGACTTATTTCATTAAAGCTGCCATCTGTAACTGTATGCTTGTCACACTTGTTGTTCCAGCTGATTGATTTAACCACTGATTGAGGCAGCAGTGATAGCAGAAATCAGAAAACACAAATATTGCTCGGTTTTAAAGAGATACTATTATGTTAACCACGGTAACCAGGACAGGTGAGACCCAGCAAACTATTTTGTGAGTATCAGAGTAATATGAGTCTGTCTTTCAGTACTTCACCATCAAATAATACCTAATAAAATGTTACAGATGCCAACTTTAGTGCTTTAAAAGCCGTGGACTTTTTTGTTTAAATACACCTTGAGCTTTTAGTGCAAGAATTAAGAATAAAACAAGCTAAATCTTTCATTATATTAGTGATAGTTGATGATGCAGATTGTGATTCCATCTTCTGATCGTGTATTTTACGAGAGAGAGACACAAATAAAGAGAGCACTTTGTTTTCTTTTCACACCAAAAGCTGGTTAGGATGATCATAACTGCAGAGATACTCAAGAGTCTGGTGTTGAGTTCATCCCTCAGTTACTCACATTGCCGCCACCGGGTACATGTTTGATATTGTCTTTGGAGCCACACTTAGACTGGACATTACTAAAATCCAACTTCTGATCAAGGATTTGAACCTGGAAAAATGAAAACGTCAGCTTTTAGATTTTAGAGTGTAGATGATGGTCGGACACATGAGCTGTGAAGCCTGAAAGACACGGACCTTACTGATTCAGAAACCACATGCAGGTTGAGATGATATTATGTCATGAGAGGACATAATTTCTTTTACCGGTCATTCTGCCCAGGAAGGGAATCATTGCAATCAGTAAGGAACATGCAAAATCTGCATACTTGTCTTCAAGTTTGGAGTTTTTATGCTCATCTTCGTTTCTGTTTATTTGATCTGCCATTTAATCTTCAGCAAGATAAAAGACTCTTTTTGCTTTATTTAAGTTATTTATTTTGGTCCAGAAATATAACAACCTCAACATTTCAGCCCGTAAAAACATCTGACAAGCGGCAGTGGCCTACACAAAATTAGAAACAAAGACTTGCGGCGCTCTTAATGCTTAAAAGGACCGCACACACTTACACGCTCGTTAACCACAACACATGTACACACACACACACACACACACAGAGTACAATGACAGCACTGGAAACATCAAAAGGCACATTGGAGTTTTTGTCATTCCTCAGCTGCTCTGGAAGTAGAAATAAACGGATTGGCTGATTTAAATCTCAGTGGGCGGAGCCAAGTTTTTTTACTTTTTTTTTTTTTTTTTTTACAGCTCATTCTCACTCCGAAGTGGTTACATATGGGCACATGGTCAAGAAGCCTTGGCGTCACTTTGTGACACCCTGGGGAGCCCCTTAGTGTCATAGTTCAACATGCTGGGAGAAGCCTGTGGCATCATTTTTGCACCTTAAAGGTAGGTGTGGGATATTTAACAGTAAAGTCCGAGTAAAGAGGTGGTTGGTGGGGACAAGTAGGTCGGCCAGAAACTGGACTTTCACCGGTGTTTGTTTCCCATATGAAACAAAAAGTCACAACTGAGTTTTATTTAAGTTACGTAGATTACATAAATTGCATAACATTATTTAAAGGCAAACCAGGATGTTTTTCTAAACCTAACCAAGTAGTTTTGATATTTTACAATGTCAAGAAGTAACCAGACGTTGCATTTTATTGTCGCTGACTTGACTGCGAAGCCCTACATGTCGAAAAACAACAATAAACGGTAACTAGGGCGTTAAAAAGCGACGCCAAGGGGTCATGACAAAGTGTTCATATGTGACAAGTTGAGAGTGAGAAAGGGTTTTCGATGAAGCGGATCCAGACTGAAACCCAAGAGAAAAAAAGAAAGATAAAATTAAGAGATTGGTTGTGCAAGTTGGAATCGGTGATATTAAATAATCCTGTCTGTTTATACTACATCGATTGTCTGCAGAGGCAAACATAGGCAGATGACACGGAAGTTATATATAGTTTTGGGGGGTGGGGGATTATTGTTTTGGTTTTGGTTTTATTTTCATAGTTTGGGCCATCTTTGCTATCAGTTGTGACGACGTTGTACTCACCGAAGACATTGCTGAGATCTGGGAACACAAACGAAGAAACACAAACAGATAATCAGACAGTCCGTAAACAAGCCCAAACTTTATCCAGATCATCTAAAAATAATCCCTCACTGCACGGAAAACTGTCTGCACACAGCTACAAGTACAGCAGGTCAAAGTCGGGGTGTTTACAACAAACAGTAAGAAGTAACTTCACGATTTGCCTTCTCTGGTTAACCGTGACTGACTGCTCGAGTTTCTGACCACTTTCAGCAAAAGAAATAATGCATATTACTTGATAATAAAAGGTACACTGTGGAGTTTATGACCACTAGAAGTGTGTTTGTATGAATGGATCTCCTTTTTGTTTCTGTTCGAGCTTGTACACGTGACGCAGCAGATTTTTGAGGTATTCTGCTGATCGAGAGTTGGTGGCGATAACGCGATAAGAAGCATCAAAAGGCTGTGAAGAATAAGACTGCACGCTACGATATTCGATTGTAAACAATGCAGGTTTAAAGGACCGGTGTGTAGGATTTAGGGGGATCTATTGGCATAAATGTAATATAATATTCAAAATATGTTTTAATCAGTGTATAATCACCTCAAGTGTGATTAATCCTACCATAGAATGGGCGCTTTAAATTTACAAAAAGGTAGAGGGTCCTAATCCAGGGAGTCGCCATGTTGAACCGGCATAGATCTACAGTAGCCCAGAACAGACAAACCAATTAATGGCTCTTGAGAGGGCCTTTTGGGTTTTTTACGTTACCTGAAGCAGGGCTTGAAGTGGGGCGGTACTCACCGAAACACAGGACCAGCACTTCTACATTTTACTCCTTGGCATACCGGGAGTTTTTTCCTTGTGTACCTACACCGAAGTACTCTTATCTGCCCTCTCCATATCAGGTTCTCTGGGCGTTTCATACCGCCCTAAATGAACTACATTACCCAGTGGGCACTTTGCAATGCTCACCTGTTCCCGCTCTCGGAGCCACTGAGACAGAGTAGTCTTTGCATAAAGTCACTCGTCAATGACCGACCAAATCACGGCCCAGATGGGGTGGGACATAAAATAAAAGGTTGACGCACTACAGCAAACTTTCAAAATGTTGAACTCGTTGTTCTGCATGAGTGGTTGTGATTACTGACAAGTTAGTACTAATAAATTAGAGACTAACCACAATGCAGACCATTTTTCTAATACAAGGATTTAATGAATGAGAGCAACCTACAAAATTAAACTGGTGTTAGGTTATTAATGCTAAGCTGTATAGTATATAGAAATTATAATTAATACACCAACATTGGCCCTAAACAAATCTTAACAACAGTGGTGTAATATCATAAAACAATTTTATTTGTGAAACAGTTTAATTGTTGAATTCATCTAATAATAATAATAATAATAATAATAATAATAATGTGATACACAATCAAGCACTAACCCGAAGGCCACCATAGATGAGTGAGGTGAGGGGTATTATTTGTGGGTTGCAGTCTGCCATCTCGCTGCTAGATGCCGCTAAATCCTACACACTGCACCTTTAAAATATTCAAACGACCGGCTTTGCTAATGTTTTATGAGAACAGAAATGCTCTACAAACATTGTTTAAAAACCTCAAAGGGCTCCTTTAAGTTTACATTCTACCTTCTTCTATAAGTATGTATTAATGCCATGTGCCTTTTATCAGGAAACTGTGTGGTGTAGGACTGAGACGGCGTGTCTAGGAGGCCAGGAGACCTCTCGATCTGCCTACTGAGGTTCAAACCTGCCAATAAGGTAATTTCTGCATCCAAAGCAGCTCTAACTCCAAAACTGTTAAATCAATCGATGAATGGATCTAATCCTCCCATCTGCCAACTACAAGACGAACTCGGACTGTAAGTATGAGGTGTACTCAGTGTAACAGCTGGAGTCAGAGTCAGGGTACCTTTCCACCTCCAGGCTGGTGTTTGATGTTTTCTGTGGAGCCGATCTTGGACCTGACGTTCTTCAGGTCTGGCATGGGCGCTGCTGCAGCCAGCGGAGCCGGCGGGCGGCTCTTCAGCGAGCCCGGTGATTTGGGTGTAGAACGCACCACCGCCACCTTCTTCACTTTGTTGGCCTCGGCCGCCGCCTTGGCAGCGAGGGCTTGGCTAGTGGGAGATTTTGGAGTACCAGGACTGCTATGTCCACTCTGGGCATCTTAAGCAGTTGGAGAAGCAACGGGTCAGACGTTTTAAACGAGTCAACGGTCAGGGATGAAAGGAAAACAATGGAGGAATAAAAATAAATCATAAAAATAAAAACAACCTAGGAGTTCTGCTGGCTAATAGCTGACCAAGTTTGATCCAGGATGGACCGGATCAGACTGTGGCGTTGTGGCTAAAAGTGATCTCTATTGTGCCTCTGCTGTTTGTCAATTTTTACCTTTTCCATTTTTTGGAGTGGGAGGTTTCTTGGCACTAGCTGTATCACAAAGAATATGACACACCATAAGTGATCCTTAATCTTACTCCATATAAAATGACAGAAATCAAAATGAAAACAATTCAAATTATATAAAAATAATTAAATGTAACGTCACTCCGTACCTGGTTGAGCTGAAGTTCTGGCAGAAGTTTTGGCTCCGGGGGTTTGAGACTTTGCACCACCAAGACTCTGAAAACAAACAACACAACCCGAAAAGCAATTGAGTTTTCAGCACATACGTTGGTTTTTACCTCAGAAAGCTGCAGTTGCTTTTATTCTACTTGTGTTTAAGTGCAGTCAAAACATGTTTAGATGCACTAATCACACAAATCTTGTAAAGCAAGACTAGAGCAAACTGTAGTCTGTGATGAATGGAATAGGCCTTGTTTAGTGTTTAAGGTGGTTTGGGTGCATTCAAACTGACTGAACAACCTCCTTAGCTGTTATATTTCACTCAAGAGAGTTCAGGAAACTGATCCATCCCTCCTGGACTCAGCTCAGGTCTAAACTCTAAGCTGCATTCAGACCTGTACTTACTCCGGGCTGCCTGGGCCCTGTGCTGCTGGTTTTAACGGGGATGGAGCTGGGGCCGTTTCGGGAGGACGCGTGTGATTTGGTGGATGGTCTTTTAAGGGAAGAGGTTGGTTTGGTGGCAGTTTGAGTCTTTTTCATGAAGAGGAAAAATGAACGAAAAACAAAAGTTCTAATGACAATGATCATAAAACAGAGGCATGATTTAACAAATGAAAAATGATGGAATGTATTTCACAAATAGGATGTGAAAGGATTATTCTGGTTTAAAACAACTTTGGTCTTTTAATGTAAAGGTCTTCTTTTCATAGTCTTGGTCATCATTTCTATCAGTTGTAAAAACTCTGCACTCGCCAAAGTAATTGCTGAGCTCTGGGAAGTCAGACGGATCACAAAACACGCAACAAATGCTCCAAACTAAATGACGAAAGATGTCATTCTTTGATATGATGCTCCAAAAACCATTCAAATCACTGTTACGAAAATTATTCACATGAATCTACTGTTGCGGCCACTCTTTGGTTAGGTGTAGGCACAAAAACTACTCGCTTAATCAATATGTTTAAATGAACAATGGATCACACGTATATGTAAAAAGGTGTTGCTCATAGTCTCCTGACTCTGCAGCTCCCCTCAGGACCTTAAGCATCTTTTAGCTCACTGTTTTGGTTCACTCTTACAGCTGTAATCAGTGTAGTTTTCAGCAGCAGGTAGCTGCTCTAAAAAACACTGAACACGAGCTGCTCAGCAGCGAACAGCGGACAGACACAGTTAGAGACTAGCAGGTGAACATAGTGGAGCGTTTAGCAGCTCAAGAGCCAAATATTTCCATCAGGAGCTGGTGGAGACCAAAAACAGAGCTTAAAGAGAGAGAGAATATTCAACCTATTCTCCTCCCAGGGCGTCACATCTGGACGCTTCGTCAAGATCTCTTGATGTTGCTTCTTAACGCCCTGGTTTCCCTTTAACATTGTGAAATATCACAGTTTGGTTAGGTTTAGGCACCAAAATCTTTACTGTTGAGGAATGGTGCTAAAGGGCTTCCCCCAGTGCACTGAACTATGATGCGAAAGGGTGCCATGAGCGCGGCGGGTACGAGACACCGACAGACATATAGCTTTTTGACGCCCAGAGATTGAGAACGGAACTGGAATATTGGACTCACATTCATCAGGTGACACAAACATGACTGCAAATGAATGATCATGTTGCTCTGGATGTGTAAATAGGCAATATATTGACTGAAAAACTGATATGTCAGTGGTACGCTCACTGATTGTTTCCACTTCCCCCAAGTGGCCAAAAATTCAGCTCTCAGCTCAAGTTTACTGAGAAAGATGGTAGTCATTGTTAAAATAAGCAGTAAACTGTGACGGATGTTGTTGTTTGTCTAACCTGGAGACTTATTTACAACCTGTTTGATCATCTGCTCATCATTCTTGATCCAATGTCGCCATGTTCCCAGATCTCAGCAATACAGTGGTTCAATTACTGATAGAGCTACAAAAATATCTTCCAAGTTGTAATAAAGCAGAATTATCCTTTCAGTAAAATAAATGAGTGACACACCTTTAATGATGTTCTTTGTTACATACCTTATCTGCAGAGCCGTTATCCATCTTTGCATGAGCTACAGACAGAAGAGAGAAGCAGACTTTAGATTTTGACTGGATTTTTTAAGGTTAACATCTCTATTTTCTCCTTCATTTCCACCCCACTGATGTAAATCAAGACGTTTGCTTCCAAGTGTGTGCCTGAATACATTCTCGTGGCAAAGAAACACAATAAAATCTAGGTGATGTGGGGTGTGCAGCATGCATGGTGACACAAAGTGCTCATGGAAAAAAAAAGAAAGTGGCTTTGTCGGGCTGCATAACCAGGAAGAGATGAAACCAAAAAGCTAAGGTGGGGAGGGAGGACAACAAGCTTCTCCTCCGGTCATAGAAAACGTCCCTCGGAGGGAGAGTGCAGCATAACATACAGTAGAAGCTGCGTTGTAAAAGAAAGAAGTGGAAGGAGTTAACTGAAGAGGACTCTGAACTTGTGAATATGACAGCACACAGACCTTTGAAAATAGCGACCGGCACCAAAGACTTTCTGGCTGGAGAGCTTTGGGGGGGTGTTTTCTGGAGCTCGGCGGTACCGGTGGTCTGAGCCACATTGCCCCTCATGTCTGAGTCAGTCATTTCGGGCCTTGAATAGCTGGCCCTATGTGAGGATGAGTCACTGCTGCTGTTTTCAGTCGCTGTGCCAGATGGCATTTCAGTAAAAAGCCTGTCCTTCTCGGAAATGTTCCTACTGATGTGTGCTGGATGAGGATCTTCTGAATGAGAATCAAAGCCAGAGTGTGACAGACTTTGGGTGTGTAGCAACTGTTGTTTTTCTGGGTTTATATTTTTGCTTTCAGAGTCACTGCAGGACTTTAAAGCTGCTCCATCGGCAGTCACTCCATCTTTTGTTTGTGCAGAGACGAGCTCCTCTCCTTCACTAACCCACAAGTGTTGATCTCCGATGGATGTCAGGTCTTCCAACGCCATGCTGCGAACTAAAGACAGATTGCTCATTTCAGTCAGGCACTCGGCGGCGTCCAGGCTGATCGCCCTCTGAGCATCCGCAGCTCCAGTCCACTCAGGGCTCCCCCTGCTGGTAGGTACGTCCCGTCTAATCTCTGACCCACAGCTGAGGTCCTCAGAGGCCCACAAAGAGTCACTTAGCCTCTTCCCACACTCTCCCTCATTTCCTGGGTCCGGGGAGCAGGAAGCTCCCATGAAGTCAACACGCTCCCCAGCACCTCCGTCTACAGCAGGCTTTGATCCATCAAACGCAAACTCACAGAGGACTCCAGAACCAGGCTTTGCTAATATGTTTGGAAAGATTAATGATGACATTCACAGCACTCGTTTTCCATCTCCCCATTGAAACCAAAAAAATGATTAAAGAAGAAAAATAAGGAAAATAAGGATAATAACAGACGATTGAGAGAGCTATAAAAGGTGAAGATGCAAGACCATGAACTGAGACGTACGTGATCAGTGGTTCAGAAGTTCACATCAAAATAAAATGAGATGAAAATGGACAGTAATGCATCACACTGGGGCACCAGACGACAGATGATGCATTCCAGTGAACATAATGAACAACAGACCACTAAAATATACATTTTTATTGTAAAAAAGTGATTAAAATATAATATAAAGTCTTCCTGGATTCCTTCTGACTGTAAAATACTGTATTCCCCCCCCAAAATCGTTAGTTGTTGCAGTGATAAAGCAAACTATTAAAGAGCTAGAAAATGTGTTTGGAGTCTGGAGTGTGACACTGCAAGAACTATGGACTTTTACAGTGTAAAATAAAAAAAGCTATTATAAACGGATACATTTATTTAACATGTAAATGTTTCATTAATAAACTCAGATTAAAAAATATTAGGAACTATATTTTTTCATTCTTCCTTTAATTATTAATTAATAGCTGACCTTCAAAATTGAATCACAAAATTAATACTTTATCTTTTGTGTCTGCTTATCATATTCTACCAATATTTACATTTCAGTTTCTGTTTCATGACAGCTTTAAGCGTAATTTATACTTCTGCGTCGAATCGACGGCGTACCCTACGCCGTAGCCTGACACCTCATCAAAAATGTAACTACACGTCTGGGCGACGTCTGATTGGTCGGCTGGGTAGCCTCGCAATGCCTCCGAGCCAACAGCAAGTTTTCCATTCTTTGAAGTAAATTTTACTAGCGGCCAAACCAATATAACATGGTGGATCAATATATTTGAATGTTGTGTTTACAGCTTGGTGCACTGCCCCCAATTGACCAAAAAAAGAAAATCTAATAATGCAGCTTTAAAAGCAGTAAGATTTAAAAAAAAAAAAAAAAAAAACTTTTTAAATTAATTTTGCAATTCTATTTTAAAAATCAACCATTAACTCATCATTTAAAGACATAATTGTTAATTGGCTAATTTAATTATCTTATTTTAGAATGAATAAATCAAAAATTACCTTTTTAATTTGGTTAATATATTTTTTTTATTAAAGTCTATAATTATTCAGGTGGCACACTACAGACTGTTTCATACAGTAGCAGCAATATATCACAAATCTAATAAAATATATAGCACATTTGATGAAAACAGACTGCAGAGAACATCCCTTCTGTGTTACTTTTTGTCCACCTGGAGTTATAACTGTATTGATATCGCTCATCTGCAGTAAATAAATAGTCTAAGTGCGATCAATAAACCGTAAAGCAGCCTACCTGTTGAAGCTGCTCCTCCTGTTGCTGATTGATGATGACACACATGGAAAAGACATTAGAGCTCGATCAGTAATGCTTTTCTGTCACTCATGACTGAATAATACACTCGCTCACCGCAAAACAAATCAATAAAAAGCCCACATAAAGCATGTCTTCAGTTAATGCAGAAAGCCCATAGCAAACAACTAATAATAGATATGCAAACGATCTGTCATGGTGCAGCAGGACCAAAGCTGAGCTGGTGCTCCATGTGGTAGCTGTTTTTAACATGACTCTGGGAGCGCTGCATCTGTTTAACAGATCGCAGGAGTCTTAAATCTTCCTGCGGTTTGGTTCATTCAGAAATAGCTAACATGTAACTATATTTTTGTTTAAAAAAAGGACAAGTTTGAGTCTGCTTATGATCAAGTTGCAGTTCTGAAAGGAGCAAAGTATTAACCATCAGAGCAAGCATTAAAAAAGAAAAATGAACGAAGCCACAGAACAACCCCCCCAAAAAAAACACACCACTGTTTTCCAATTAAGATGCTGAAAGAAAAAGATAGTAAGCTTCATTTTACAATCAGGACAAACACGAGAGAAGCGGGAAGCTTAGGTCATAAACTTTAAAGGAATACACTGACATTTTAGGAAATATCTCGCAGCGAGTTGGAGCCATGACGTCTTTTTGTTCAATATGAAGCTACAGCGGGTAGTCGGACCAGAAGCTGCGCTAAAGCTCGCTAATTAACATGTTACATCTTGTTTGTTTAAATTAATTTAGGTATTTTTAAACCTGGACCCTATTTTGGTGTCAAAATGACAAGTAGGTACAAAAGGTTTTAGAGTCTGTGCAGTAGATGGCTTCAGCCAGCAGCCGTGAAGCAGACGCAGTGGCTGCAAGTGTTAAGTTGGTTTTGGTCAGTTATGCATTTCTTCCGTGTTTTCTGTTTTATTCTGTTCAATTCGTCCTTGTGTTTATGTGTACTTTACTTCCTGTTTTTTAGTGTTCTGCCTCTTGTGTCTCGTCTAGCTTTGCTTTCTGTCGGTGTTAATTATTATTATTACACAGATTGTGTCCACCTGTGCCTCGTCTTGTCACCTCCCGGCAAAAAAGAAGCACTTTTTGTGGACGTCATTTTGACGGGCGTAATTTCCCTGAAGGAATACGTCACATCCCCTGCGCAAAGACTTTTTGTACCTTCTAGTCATTTCAACACTATGTCAAAATAGTGCCCATGTTGAAAAATACAGAAATTATCCTTTAATCTGTACAAAAACCGAAGTGTAAAAAACAAGTTGTTTTATTTGCCAGATTATTTCTTGGCTTCCTGGCAACCTCAAGATGACAACAAGTTACTGCTAGCGTATTTCCCAAAATGTCGCAAATAAAGGTAGCTAGAGAAAGATGCCAGGAAAACAACTGAATGCACAAGCAGCTGAAGGAGGCGGGAGCTCAAAGACAGGAGGCATACCAAGCTGCCCCTCGTCTTCACATGAGGCGCTGTCTATTTTTGAGAGCTCGGCTTCAACACCTCCTTTCTCTGCAGACGTCTCTGCTGTGGGATAAACGGATGTCAGTCAGCAAAATAGGAGTGGTTCTCCCCTAAATCTTCACCCTGATCTGACCTTTAGTTTTCAGCGATGGGTCAGTTGTGGTATTTCTCATGTTCGTCCACTCAGAAGCTGTTAAACAGATCAAGGAGGCTTTTCAACCTGATGACCCTCTCCCTTCCACTACGCTTTGGACTAGCTGTCACTCTCTGTATTTATGATCAAAGCATGCCTGAGCCAGACTGGAGTGGAGCTACTGTGGCTAATTATTACAGGCACAGAAAGCCATTATTCTCCATGTTAGTCAGCGATCTGAGGCTCGTGAAGTGGTGACTGTTCACTGGGTAAAAGGCTCTTATTTACACTTTGTATGTAGTGACAACACAGCTACATGTGCCCCACTAGGCTATAAATATCAGGCACATTAGCATACATGCAGAAAACCCCAAATATAAACCAAGACGGGTTAGAGTTGGAGGGAAGAAAATCAACAAACTAAGATGGAAGTTTCCCCAATTATATCTCTGAAACAAAGAAAGTTAGGGCGTAGAGGAGAAATTAACTGATAACCTGCGCACAAACTGAAACATGCTACATGAGGGTTAAGCTGAGTTAATGCTGCCTTTGGTGTTCAAGCTTCATGACATGATTTGCGCAGGCGGGCGTACCAGGTTGCACCTCGTTGCCACTCTCTGGTTGAGAGAGTTCAGACACAGATTTCACCCCGTTTTCACTGAATGCTGCTTCAATCTCTGCGAATTAAAGGTAAACTGGAGGTCAACCTTGAGTTTTATTGTGACAGAAGCCGGCATTAATGTGAAGCACGGGGGAAATAAACAGCAGCTAATGTTCACGCGAGCTGTGAAATAAAATTAAAATGGTTAAAACCTTGGCAACAGTAAGTGTTGCATTACATAAAACAAACATTCACCTCTTATTATTTATCTCATAACAAGAACAAACAATAAAAAAACAAATTCTAACATATTCACAATCTTTTACCACATTTTACCATTAGTTTAAATAATGTGACAACATTATAGAGGCTCTCATTGTTCATTTCACTCAGAACTGCAACATAAGCACATAAACGAAACAATAAAGAATAGAAAATGCAATTTTACACAATACACAATATTACATCGACAATAATCCCACGCAAAATATGATATTTAGAAAACATTATTTATGATGGACCAGCTAAAAATCAGCTTTAGTCATTAGAGGCCCTTCACACCTTTCAGTTTTCGGTTTCACTCCCCACAGGAGCAGAATTGGACTAGTTTTCAAAGACTATAGCTGTTTTTTTCACCAATACATTGTTAAAAATATAAAGTATCGCCACTTTAACATTGTTTATAGAGAAAATGATTTGGACTTTAGCTTCAAAAAAAGCTCCTCTCATTTCACAACTCAAGCTTATACATGACTCGATCTCCCACAATTTACTGTTCTACATTTATTTCAAAGGTACAATGGGTAAGATTTGGCCAGAACTTGATAAAATGTACTTTTTTTGTACTTGGTTTTAAATTGAATTTATACGGTACTAACACTGTCAACAGAATGTGAATAAGTAACAGCTCCGACGTCACGTCTATGTAATGTGTGCAGAGATATCTACTGAAGTTAGCCTGCTAAACAGCTAGTTCCTGCCTTGAGGTCTGATATTGAGTCACTGTAGTTTCCAGTCTGCCTTCAGTCCCACATGAGAGGGCAACAATTAGAGCCACACCGAGGGGCTGTCAATCAATACTGCTGCACGAGCAGCAGTTCTCCCTCCCTCGATCTACCCAACCTCTTGTTCCTCCGCTACTTCTGCCTGAATATCTGAAACCACTTGATCTTCTTTGTCTCTTACTAGGCAGACAGAGGTATAGCGGCGACTTGCAATTTTGACCAATCACTGCAACTTTTTGCAAATTTGACCTCTCATCGCCGTTTCCAGCAAAGCGTTGCAGTACGTCAGCTAATCTCACTTCCTTGTTCACAAGACGCAGAAGACCTGTGATACCTACGTCTCACATTTGTGGTCAGAAAGGACTGTGAAAAACACATCTTCTTTAACAAAGCGGGGGGTTGCAAAATAACAAATATGGTGCTCAAACATAAAAGGATATTGACAAACGCCTCAACACATATGGTGAGTTACAGAAACACATTGAGGACGTCAGACGAGACAAATCACTGTGACACAGCGCTGAAAGAATCATTTGGTTTAAAAATGCGGTTAATGTAGTTTATCACAAAGTAACAGGCGTAGCCTACTGTCTTGTTTGCATGACACTGAACTGTGTGTGTGTTTTAAGAACATAGTTTAGGAGAAGAAAAGTCTAGTGTTTAAACATTTGAGGAAAGTTTTTTTCAAAGGATCGATTATTGATATTCAACTGTAATTCTAAAGTACAAAAAAAATTCATCTACTTTTGCAGTTTTCACTAAAACGATGTAAATTATAAAAAGATATAAATGATCTACTTTCGGTAAACGATTAAATAATTTCTCGGTCCCTCTCATCTCTGTTCTCCTGGAGCTTCAGTTCACCAAATTCCCCCCTCTTCCTGCTCGTCCATTTGTTAGACATAATATCACTGCTGTTTGTTCTTGTGCTTTTTAAATTCCATTCAAATCTACATATTTATGAATTGTGTCTAAACAGTGTGACAGAGAGGAGTCCCTCCCCACAGATAGTCAGGCAAAGCGATTTTAATGTCACTGTTGCAGAAGAAGCGACGCCCACTAATCCAAGAGCACATAAAAACTCATGAGGTAATTATAAAGCTCTAACGTTACATGTGATTAGTAAAGAGCAGAATCGCTTAGAGAGCAGGCTGCCGGAGGGGGAGGAGGAGGTGAAACACTGCCTCCTATTTGTTTGGAGGATGTGGCCAGCAATTACCCAGTGTACCTTTAAACTAACCATAACCACAACCACACAACCAGCAGCTTCTACTGAACTACGACTTCTACTCAGCCAGATCACCGAGATACTCACTTTGCGTTTCACCGTTGAGAAATGTGCGGTTCATCTCTGCAGATGGACCTGACTCTGTGTGCTGCTTCCTGTTTGTGCGTGAGATGACGGGAAGTAGAAACGGGGAGAACGACTGCACTAGTGAGGGCTGTAAACTGGGAAAAGCTAGGCTACGCACTAATTGGCCATATGGTTGATTGGGATAAGAAGGCAGAAACTGATTATTAGCTACAGGCTGAACAGTCTGTCGGGACTGTTATTGTTTATTTGACAAACTCCGCAGCTGACAAACAACATCTTCCCTTATTTATTTGTCATTTTCACATAAATAACCCTTTCAGCCGTTTAAAAAGCTGATGTTTTCTGTGCAGCATTAAAAGCCTGATTGTTTATGAACTGAATTGGAGGCGAACGGTGACACAGGATGGAGACAGGCCTCGTTCTGAGGGGCTCTGACCCAGATGCCTGGATTACCGAGTGCAGCTGCAGTCGGGGGGCACTCAGGGCCAGTCAAGCATGTCTTGTATCCATTATGTAAAGCGGGATTAAAACAAAGCACAGTGGAAACTTGGGGGGCCCGATTCTATACAGACCAAAGTGACTTTTAGGAAATATAAATCCTTCACTTAGAGATAATTTAAGAATATCTTCTGGGATTAAAGCGCTACCGTGAGGCCATTGCGTCACATTGTGCTGTGTGTGGTGGGGACATTTAAGGGTTCAGGTAAGGGGTGCAGTGATACACTTGCTCCTGAAACGCGAACAAAACAAGACGATATAAAGAATAAATATTCACTACTGTGATATATGATTTTGGGGGTCTGGGGGTCACCACCCAGAGGATTTTCAGCATTAAACACTTCATTTCCTCCATTTTCCAGACCAATTTATGGTTGAAATATCTTTTATGCATATATAAAGGGAAACACTAAATTCAGGTGTAAGGTGACTATACAAAATATAAAAATATAATGTAATATAATGTAGTAATCAGCAACCTTCTTGGACAATGCACATTCGTTTCTTAGATATTTACATTGCATTGCGAATTAACCTTTCTCAAAGCATTCTGATTTGTTATTTAACATTTCTCGTCGCAAACAATTTATCAGAACCATTTTAACAAATACTTTCAAAAAGTGGTGGGGACATGTCCCCAGTGTCCCCAGTGTAAATGACACCTATGTATAACACACTCTAATGTAGTTATAAACAGATATAAGAATATTTCAACTGTTTATTAATGAACGGCATTTGTCAATTATAACATGCATCAATAAACACTTAAAATACTTTAAATTAACTACATTATTGTGTGTTATAAACCATTTTTTAAACATTTATATACTTCTTATAATTACTAAATGGGGCGTATATATCATATATAACAATATACACTTTATTTATAATAAATCATGTGCTTTCCTTTATAATTGAACACATCATTCTACAAACTTTTGTTTCTCAAATTAATGATTTTAATAGTTTTTTGTTAAACATATATAAATCATTATTGGGGGGGTGATGGAACAGTGGATAAGACACTTGTCTTTTGTGTAACATACCCGGGTTCGAATCCACTGTGAGACACCAATGTGTCTCGTTGCTCCAGAGGCGTGCGACCTCTGACATCTATAGCAATTGTAAGTCGTTTTAGATAAAAGCATCAGCTAATTGAATAAATGTAATTTTATTTGTAATTTTGCTGCCAAACCTTGAAACTCATGGTTCAGTCGCTCAACGCAGGGCTGTTTTCAGTCTGAACACCCACTTATTCTGTATCAGATGTGTTTACTTTTCACCATCTAGGCTTATTCATTAACTGAGAAAGCACCTCTTTGTGGACCACACTGGTTCGCCTGTATGTTTCATGTCTGACCTTTCATTTTGGCGTCCCCGGGGCCTCTGTGTCCCATCTGGACTCCGTTCTCCTGGTGGTGCTGGTCGCTGATGGTCATGTTGGCTAAGGAGGAGCTCATGGTGTCTCCTGAACTGTAGCTGTTGGAGGCGTTGTTCATGTAGTCCATTGCCGGTCGCAGGTCAGGCTGCAAAAGGTTCAATAAATGAAGATCAGGACAGAGTCAAACTGTCAGTCCAGCATGTCTCACATTACTGGTTTTACATGCAAAGTACGTGACCAGGAAGAAAACCTGGTTTTAAGGATTAAATATAATGATGGCGTACTTCATGGATACTTTGAACCCAGTCCGTCACCACAAAATGTAAACAGACACTGTGCCTGTGAAAACCTGTTATTTATACGCTGTGACGTGCGGTGGGCGCTTCATGTTACAGCCTCAGATAAAAATAGTCCCCTCAGCCCATGTGCACGCCGTCCTCACTGTCATAAGTTTCACTTCCTAAACAACCACCTCTGAACCAAGAGCAGCCCTTCATGTGTTTCATGCACCGCCATACGTACTTAAACATAGCACAGAATGAGTCATTAAGACGCTGATATTTTGTACCACAGGAAATAAACCTCACAGTCCCAACACGCTCCTTCAACCGGCGAGATGTGAGTCAAATCTCATAAAAAGAGGATTACATATCAGATTAAACCCAAGCCTCTGGTTACATCAGCAGTTTGAATCATATTTTTTCCCTCTCTGTCACACAAACTTACAAAGCGAGCCAGTGCAGAGAGCTTATGGCGTAATCAGTCTCGCCGTCCAAACTGCTCTTTATGTGTTTGTACGGTGGTGCAGATTTGTCAGCGTCTGATCTTGATTTTCACCCTCATGCCGACTTTGGCACATGAACATGACTCGGTTTAATCTCTAGTGCTGTAAAGCCTGCAGCGACCCAAAGTACCGTTAGCTTATAAAATGATCATCAATATGATGTATCAATGGAAATGAATCAGCATTAATTAAAGGCAAGTAGACAAAGAAGGGTAAAAGTTTGCCCGCCTCAGTGGAGGAAAGTAGATTTACTCAACTGTACTTAGCTAGAGTTACTCAAGAGAGGTACAAGTACCTCTCTTGAGTAACTCTAGCTAACTCTCTTCATGTCACTCCAATGATACATTTACTTGACAGATATAGTCACTACTAGTTACTTTACAGATTAAAAGTTTATATAAATCAAAATCTGATAATAGAAAACATTGTCCATTTACTCAAGAACTGTACTAAATTTTTCATGTCCTTGTATTTCCATTTGACGCCTCTTTATACTTTTACTCCACTACATTTATCTGATAACTTTAGTTACAAACTTATAAAACAAAATTTAATCAACATATAAATTATGATATGTTAATATACACTAAGATCTGACTTTATTGATCCCTGGGGTTAATTTCACAAGTTAGCAGAATCAGTCGCACCTTTAAAGTAATGAGCACATGATTGTATAAATAATTATAATGCAATAATATAATAAATACTTTTGCTCTTGTACTTTTTGTTGAATGCATGACTTTTAGTATAGTTTAGTATGACTTAAGAGTATTTTTACTCTGTTGTATTGCTGCTTTTACTTCTTAGTACTTCTTCCACCACTGCACATTATTAAGATTAAACCAGTCGTTCCCAACAGTTTTGGTTTGTCACCAAAAATAAAAACAGCAGTGTGTACTTGAAGCTCCTTGTCATGTCACGTCTGTGAGTTGTTTTCCACTAAAGAGAAATTTGCCCTCTAAACTTCTCACATGGTTTCATTTCAATAACAGTTTGAAGCCCAAAGAGGTAAAATTATTCATTATCTTACCAAAAAAAATGCTAAAATTGGAGAAAAATCCTGAAAATGAAAACAGTTCAGAGGAACTTTTTCTTCTTTCCCATCAATCATGTCATGACCACTCAGATTTATGTGATGACCCTTTGATGAGACCCGCCCCCTAGGTTGGACACCACTGCACTAAACTAGCTTACTGTATATAAAGTAGTTAAAACTAGCTCCACCATGACAGCTTACACTATGATGCATCAGCACTACCAATAGAATAATGTTATAAATAATAAAAAGTCACATTTTTCTGCAGTATTTTTACTTGTGATACTTTACGTACATGTTGTAATAGTACTTCTGAAGTTATACACAGAAGTAGAATAAGTAGGATTTTGAATGCAGTATTTTTACATTGTTAAATTAGTACTTTTACTTAAGTAAAGGATGTGAGTACTCCTTCCACAGGCCAAACACCACGCAGTGATGTGACGGCACTTGATGCAATTACTGTACGTCTTAACAGGCAGCAACGCCTAATCTGTTGCCGTGGTTACTCCAACCCATGAAACCGACTCTGAAGGCACACTTGGCTCAGCTATGTGACCTTCCCTCTGTGTACCTTCATGTCTCCTGACCTTGGATGCTTAAACAACGTCCCACATGCAGCACAAAACGGAGCGAAGGGCCAACAAGTAGCAACGAGTCAGAAAACACTTTAAGTAGAAGATAATTTAAAACATGCTCCTCCTGGAAGGAAGAATGTTAATGCAGTTAAATCAATGAATAGATCATGGATATCACAATCAATCAAATTACATATCAGAATATGAGAATTAAGTATTGACTCACACAACAGTCACACAATTTATTTTCATAAATTAAAGTATCACAGTAGTTTCTGACATGTTATTTATCCGGCTGAATTAGCAACATATAATATTTTATAAATATTTCAGTCCCTTTGTTAACAATTTTGAATTAATACAAAATATTGGTATTTTTGCATTAATATTTCTAAAATAGAAAAAGAAAGATTTAAAAATAGAACATTTAAAAAGGCTGGACTTTCAAAAGAAATTTGTTTAATCTTTTGAAATATATTTTACTGCTTCAGACGATAAAACTGCCATTATTTTACATTTTGTTATTTTCAAAAATACCTATTAAATTGCCAAAACTAACAATGAATACAGGTGAATCAAAGCCTGATATATCTTCTTCCTCTGAGCCACAGAGCTCCTTTGTTGTCCAAAAACTATTAAAATCAGTGAGCGGCACTGTTGCACTGGGTGACATGTTCCTTCCTCACCATGAACACACACACACTGTAGTTTATTTTCACTCAGTCCCACACACACAGTCGTGCTGCCCCAAAAACTCCCCAGAGCCCCAAATGTGGATTCATCCGCTGCTGAAAATAGTCCCCATCAAATGCACCATTTCCTCCAGTTCACCAGCTTCCACCGTCACTACAGTGACCAGTTGTTTTAGGAAATTACTTAAGGTTCAGGGGATCAGACTGAATTGTTATTTTGTTCCACTACATCGAGTTATCGTGTTAGTCGGCTTCTGTTTTGCAAGGTTTGTTATTTTGTTCTAACCAATCAGCAGCAGAAGCAGCTGTTCGTAACAGTAAACTTAACGTTGTAGAAATACGCCAGTTCAAGAGTTATTTTCACTGTTAAGTTCACTCACAACAACCTGTGCAGCTACATCGATCTCCTCCACGCTTGCCGGCATTTTCGTGCCCACGTCTTTCGTAATTTTTCTGGCGCTGATACAGGAACATAACGTCCCCATTCTTAATACTGCCCACAAAGCTCTGATTGGCTCTGTTGCGTTTTTCCAAACGGTGCAAACAGCCGCCAATGAGCACAACCCCGGACAGAGCTACAGTATTTGAATCACTGAAATAATCGGAGATGAAGGCAGTGATTCAGAGGTCTGGAACCAGGCTTGGCTTTGAGCTGAGCGCCACAGGCATGGACAGTGGAGTCAGAAAGAATTCAGAGAACGACTAAGACATTGTTGGTTTTGGTCTTTTTGTGGGATTTGGTGACGATAAGAAAAAAATAGAATACATAAACAAACCAAAGAAAAAACTTCATTTTAAAAAAAGAGGATATTATAAATCATAGAGAGATGTTTGTGCGTCCCATAGAGATTCTAATGAATAGTGTACTCTCAGTGCTCACACACAGCTCCCGGACAAAACTCCCATTGTAGCATTACACATGACAGAATCCAAACAACAAGAAAGCTGCACCCTTGCCAATGAAGACAAACCCTCTGAGAGGCCGTTCACTCTGCATCCGGGTGCTCAGGCGGTTAGAGAGCAAACAAACTCACGGCTGATAAGAACTAGATCCTTTAGCTGATTATCGTGTGTACAGAGGGAATGTGCATTAGTCTGCACCAAGGTTTTATTACAGGAGACAGATGTCAAGTAGCTATAGTTTACTCTGTAAACATGAGAGCTGTTGTTATCATCAACACACCCGTTTATCACTCCTTGTGTTAGGAGGGAGCAGACAGACCCTCTTGACGACAAAACATGCTCACAAATTTCACCTGCTGCAGAAAGGGAACATGGCAGCGCTCTTTGTCACAACTTCATGGGTGGGATAAAGGCTCAAAAGGTCAGCTGATGCTGCTTGTTCTCTCAGGGGCGTGTGAAAATGTAATCTTGGCCCAGGCCCCGGCCTTCCGAGGAAACCGCTCTGACGGCTCTGCAAGGCGCACGGTCAACAGGGTTGTTGACACAACTCCAGGAGCATGCAGCAAGACATGCAGTCTGAAACTATGTGTGTAGTTTTTACCTCATAGTATGATGCACCAAAGGGGAACTCTACTGATTTTAGCAAGGAAACCATTAATTGATGTCGTCTGTGGCTCTGGCTTGTCAAGTCTGATGATAATAACCGTTTATCTTGGCTTGGGTTTGAGTCAACAAGTCTTTAAATCACGAAACCTGCTCTCCAAACTGGAGGTTTGGTGTTTAAAAAGTGCAGGCATTTACCAGCCACGAAGGGTCTAACTTAATCTAAAAGATACTGTTGGATGCAGTGTTTTTGGAGCTTGACCCATATTAGGAACTAATAACCAGGACATCTCGGCCTGTGCTGCTTCAATTCTGATCTTGAATCTTTTTGTTTGTCTTTTGCGAGTCCTTAATGTGATACTTCATCAGTGAAGTAATGTAACAGCTACAAGAGGTTCTTATACAGATTTTATGCAGATTAGGGCTGCAATTGATGATTACTTTCATTATCAGTTCATCTTCTGATTGTTTTCTTGATTAAATGTCTACACAAGTTCAGAAAACAGTGAAAATGTCCTTATCAGGTTTTGGCGCAAAAAAACGCCAAAATATTCAGTTTAATATCATATGAGAAAAATAAAAGAGGGAAATCTTTGATGACTTGCTGTTTTTTTTTTTATCAGTGTTATCTTTGGGTTTTGTTGGACAAAACAAGACATTTGAAAATGTCATCTGTGTTAGTTGCAGTCCTCGGTTAATCAAATATTCGTCTAATGGTTTCAGCTCTAATGCATGGCAGAGAACACAACTGAGACCTTAATAATGTGTTGTCTTCAGGGGGGTTTGGGTGTTAAAGGGTATATGTATGTAGAATGCCGACGGTGATGTTATCAAAATGCTTGTTTTGTCCGACCAGCAGTCAAAAAAACAAATATATTCCATTTATACTGACATGAAACGGAGAAAAGCAACAGATCCTCACATTTGCGAAGCTGGAAGCAGAAAATATTTAGCATTTCAAACTCTAGCTTAACTGATTCATCATCTATTTGTTTCAGCACTGAATAAGATCGACCTCCAACATAAAGGCGTTTCTCTGATGCCGTGTATCGTCCTGCCTGCTCACCAGCGCTGCTTGTAGCTCAGCTGAGAGACGAGGATGCTGCTCTCATGCTTGATTGCCTCTGTATCTCTGACCTACTTTCCTCATCATTCCCTCTCTCTGTGTTCTCGCCCAGCCTCCCGGCAGCCACAGACTGACTCTACCTTTCTAATAAAAAGGTCCAGCTCTGCAGTGGAGGGGCTGAAGGTGGAGCCTGTTTCCATTTTGCCCTCAATCTAAGCGCTGGAGGGGAAACATCTTTCAGGACCGGCCCACATGTGGCCTCCTGCTCAGCATCAACTAGCTGCTACAAACACGCATGTTTAGCGTCAGTAGTCACATTTTCCACCTGTGTTTTCATACCTCCAGGATGTACACCACACCCTGCTACCTTTCATCCTCTCATTTTAAAGACACTGCAGCCTCTTAAAACAAGATGTGTTACATTATCAAAGCTTGACTTTCAGTTCTAGTCTGCAGAGGAGTAAAAGACAAACCGCAAGTCTGCAAACATGCAGTAAGGAATTAAAAAATACAAGCATTTGTTCTTGTGTTGTCATGAGGCAGAGAGTAAAAGTAATCCAGCTGCTGCATGTTTCATTATGTACAGAAGATGCTGAGATACAATCTGATCTGCCACCACACACACACACACACACACTTGCTTACTGGTGCAGTTAACTGTAGTCCTCCATCAGCATGGTGCCAATTAACTGTACACAAGAATGCAATTTAAATCCCACTGTGGCATTTCTTCTTCCCTTTAACAAGACAACGCAATCAGAAAAAGGTCTGAGCGACTTCTTTTGGAAAACATTAAAACTGTGTCAGGTTTATCTCGTCTTTTATTTATTGTACATCTGCAGAAATATACTGGAATAGATTTGTCTTTACAAAACTGTAAAAGTTTGATAATCAAAAGTAAGACGCCAGAGGAAGCAGATTAGGGCTGAAAATAATTATTTTCATTATCAATGAATCTGTTGACTATTTCCTGGATTATTCATTTTGGCAATAAAATGTCAGTGACACAAATGTCACGTTGCTTTTCTTGTTTCTTCAAAACCTAAATATTTTTAGTTTAAATCCACATGAAACAGAGAAGAAAATCTTCACATTTGAGGAGCTAGAACAGAGAATATTTGGCATTTTAAAAATTACTAAAAAGATTGATCCAGATACATTTTCTGTCAACTGATTAATCGACTAATTGTTTCGGCTCTGACGCAGAGAGAGTGAAACACAGTAAATCTGACTAACTTCTTTAAAAGCTGCACTGAAGTAATTTCAGTGATGTTGTTGGTTTTGCCAGCCTAAGCTTCTCGGGCAGCTCCTTCCAGAAAGAGGCTGGCTGGATGCGGTCACCTTTGGACTTGAGCCCACATGTCAGTCTTTGCTAAACGGAGCACTTCGGCGTGGATTCATTTCATAATCTCTGACGCTTGAAGCCTGGTGACTCGATGAAGTCAGCAGCCAAATTCAGAGGAGTGACTGTACCAGCATCTTTGTTCAAACTAACAAGCCGTGTTGTGGTTTTGGATTTCCCTTCAACTGCTTGATGAATTATTGTGATTTTGCACTGGTTTGGTTTGATAAAATTCAAATCATCAGACTTTGTTATGATTAAACGATTAAAAGACTTTTTTCCATCTTGTCAAAATTGAAAGTTAAAGGATTGTTTTGGATTCTTTCAAGTCTGTTTTTTATCTGGTTTCCACCGGTTTTACACGTGAAGTTTGGTTTCTATTCATCAAGATCTGGTTTCTATTCATCAAAATACCCGTATTTGTTCAGCTCTGACTCTAACCTTTATTTTATTCACTCTCAGAAAAATTAGCAAGAACTACATTGTAGTTCTGTGACCTGTGTGGCAGCGTTGAATGATTCAAAGTTCAAAAAAATCATTTCCTATCTTATATTGATGGGACGGCGCAGTGGTGCAGTGGTTAACACTGTCGCCTCACAGCAAGAAGGTCGTGGTTTCAAACCCCGGTTGCCCCGGCCTTTCTGTGTGTA